AATCAAAATCATAAACAACTAATGAACAACTGCATAGCTAGCTTAGACCAATGAAATGATTTGTCTTTGGGAACCAATGAAAATGTATATTCCATTTACTATAAATGCTCTGCAGCCCCATTGGGGGTTGCGACAAACCCTTTGATTGCATCCCTGTATGCTTGTTTGTCGTTATTGCTATGGCCACGCAATAATAAATAGTTTTTTTGCAGTTTAAAGGATTCAACTTTCATGGTGTCCATCCTTGCCCTCCCTATTGGAAAGGGGGCTTCTGCCTTTTGGGAAATATTTTGGTTTTGTTGCCCCTACATGGTCATTCCACAGACGGCAGGGTTGTATACTTTCACCCAACCTATTCAACTTGTATGCAGAACACATCATGCGATGTGCGGGGCTTGAATGCAAAGCTGGGGAGAAAATTGCTGGAAGAAACATTAACAACCTCAGATATGCAGATGACACCACTCTGATGGCCGAAAGCGAGGAGGAGCTGAGGAGCCTTCTAATCAAGGTGAAAGAAGAAAGCGCAAAAGCCGGGTTGCAGCTAAACATCAAAAAAACCAAGATTATGGCAACAAGAATGATTGACAACTGGAAAATAGAGGGAGAAAATGTGGAGGCCAAGACAGACTTTGTATTTCTAGGTGCAAAGATTACTGCAGATGCAGACTGTGGCCAGGAAATCAGAAGACGCTTACTTCTTGGGAGGAGAGCAATGTCCAATCTCGATAAAATAGTAAAGAGTAGAGACATCAGACTGGCAACAAAGATCCTCATAGTCAAAGCCATGGTATTCCCTGTAGTAACCTACGGATGTGAGAGCTGGACCTTAGGGAAGGCTGAGCGAAGGAAGATACATGCTTTTGAACTGTGGTGTTGGAGGAAAGTTCTGAGAGTGCCTTGGACTGCGAGAAGATCCAACCAGTCCATCCTCCAGGAAATAAAGCCCGACTGCTCATTGGAGGGAAGGATACTAGAGACAAAGTTAAAGTACTTTGGCCACATCATGAGGAGACAGCAAAGCCTAGAGAAGACAATTATGCTGGGGAAAGTGGAAGGCAAAAGGAAGAGGGGCTGACCAAGGGCAAGATGGATGGATGGCATCCTTGAAGTGACTGGACTGACCTTGAAGGAGCTGGGGGTGGTGACAGCCGACAGGGAGCTCTGGCGTGGGCTGGTCCATGAGGTCACGAAGAGTCGGAGACGACTGAACGAATGAACAAGATTAATCCTGGGGAATGGTGTCCTAAAATTATAATTAAGATGCCAGGACAATTTCTGAAAAATAGAAATTATTTAAAAACAATCTTTACCAAAGAGCAAAGGTCGTTATCTTGCGTCCTTCAAAGGGTCATTGTTTTTAATTTATGGCAGCACAGTTAATTAACCATGCTTCCGTACGGGACATAAGAAGCTCTCCTAATGTTATTGTTATTTGAAAAAGCTAGGGATAATTTAATTTTTCACAGTTCAGTTATTCAGTGCCAGAAAACAAAGGGCATTATATCGTTCACATCATGCTTTGTCTTGGAAGGAATTCATACTTCAGCCTGCCCTAGTTTACACAGCATGATTCATACCGCAATTTTATACAATAATCTGGAGTCTAACTCAAACAAACTACTGGATTGCTGCACTGCTGTCATTATAACAGGGACTTTGCAGATATTTACATACTAATGATCTCATTTACTGCAATATATATAATTCATTTTGCTGCTAGATGGAGAGTGGTCTTCAGTTATGGAAGCCAACATGTGAAATTATCTTCAAATTAAAATCCCAAAATCACAGACAGGCCCTATATCCCAGGATCTGATCCCAGGTTTTATCTTTATCCCAGATTATCTGGCAGTGCGGACTCATATCATTCAGTTTAAAGCAGAAAACCTGGAATCAGATCTTGGGATATAGAGTTTGTCTGGAAGGGCCCAAAGTTGGAAGGGACTATTAGAGACAATTCTGCCATGTAAAACTAGAAAGCCAACACATACCAGAAAGCTACCTATCCAGACCTTCAAAGATGGAAAAACAGTTCATTTCACTGTAACATAGCAACAAAGGAAATAGGTTCTTTCTAATGTTGAGGCAGGATTGCCTTTCATATAGAATCTATTGTTTGTGTTCAAGTGTCCTGGAGACTAGGACCTGGAGCAATGGGTTCAAATTATAGGAAAGGAGATTCTACCCGAATCTTAGAAATAACTTTTTGACCTTAAGAACTGTTCAACAGTGAAACTCTCTGCCCGCGAGTGTCGTGGAGGTGCCTTCTTTGCAAACTTCCAAAAAGAGGCTGGATGGCCATCTTTCAGGGTGCTTTTTTCTGCATGGCAGAGGATTGGACTTAATGGCCCATGTGATCTCTTCCAACTCTATGATTCTATGTTTTATTTATGTATTTATGATATTTATAGCCCGCCTTTCTCAGCCATACGGTGACTCAAGGCTGGTTACAGATTGGCACAGTTCGGTGTCAGGCATTCATAAAAGTGCCATTAAAAACAATCAACATTACAATATAAAACATATATAAAAACCATTAAAGCATATAATCATCAGTGTCATCTTGTTAAAAACATTATCCAGTATCATCCTCTGGCCATCCCATGTTCATCATTCATAGTTCTGTGTTATCTATTCTGCTGCATTCTCAAAAGCTTGCTCAAAGAGCCAGGTATTTACTTTTTTTCGGAAAGTCAGGAGGGAGATGGCTGATCTAATATCCCTGGGGAGGGAGTTCCATAGCCGGGGAGCCACCACTGAGAAAGCCCTGTCCTTTGTGTAAAGTAACTGGTTTGGGAGATGGTGACTGGGCATTCGGACAACATGGGCAGTCCAGTGAAGTTAATGGCAGAAGATCATTGCTTCAGTGCTGGTGGTCTTTGCTTCTTCCAGAATGCTGACATTTGTCTGCCTGTCTTCCCAAGAGATTTGCAGGATTTTTTGGAGGCAGCACTGATGGAATCGTTCCAGAAGTTGAGCTTGACGTCTGTAGACATCCAGCCTCTGTTTAAAAGCTTCCAAAGAAGGAGCCTCCATCCACACTCGGGCAGAGAGTTCCACTGCTGAACGGCTCTCACAGTCAGGAAGTTCTGCCTAACGTTCAGATGGAATCTGAACATGAGGAAGAACTTCCTGACTGTGAGAGCCATTTAGCGGTGGCTATCATGGCTATCATATCTCCTCTCAGCCTTCTCTTCTTCAGGCTAAACATGCCCAGCTCTTTAAGCCGCTCCTCAATTCTCCAAGGTTTTTGTTGTTGTTGCTGTCCCTTTAAGAAGCCCCGCCCGCAACACGCCCTCAGCCCCCGAGAGTGTTGTCGACACTCAGAATCGGCCACGTAGAAAGGTTTGGCGTCGCCCAATCAGGAAGGGGCGGGAAAAGGCCGAAGCCAATCGTTCCACTCCACCAGCCGGTTCAATGTTCTCCAACCATTGAAGGGTTGGGTAGAGCAGCAGCACGAGCCAATCGCATAACGACTTGGAAAAGAGACACTTACGATTGGCGCGCGAAAGTTAGAAGCATGCTGGCCATTGGCTCCTCTCGCGTGTTGACAAACATCGCGCGTTGGAGGCTGAGGCACGAGCTGAGCGCGGAGATTGGAGATGATGTTAGGTTGCACACCAACTCGCCGGTACGTGGCCCAAAGAGAGGGCGGGAATTGGGAGAAGCAGAAACAGGTTAGGTTGCAGCCTGGCGCCTGTGCGCATGCGTAGTGGCGAGCGCGAGGCCGGATGAGGGAAAAGTAACGGCGGTTGGGCAGAGAGAGGGGCTTCCGATGTGGTAACGGTGCGGGGGAAGGGCCGCTTCATGGGCCTGAGGCTTCGGCCCGCGCCCTCTCTGGTGCTCCTCTGGCTGCTCGTGCCGCTTTGCGTCCCTCTGAGGGAGGCAGCGGCCTCTTCGGATGGAGCCGAGCAGCCCGGACGCGGCTTCGGTGGCGTGGCAGCCGCCGCTCTCCCGCTGGTCGCAGACGTGACTGTGGAGGACGATGAGGCCAGCAGCGTGGCCCAGGCCCCCTCGCCCTTGGAGGGGGAGGACGAGGAGGAAGGGTCAGCAGCCCGGGGCGGAGGCAGCAGGTGAGGCGGATTGCTGGGTGGCTGGCCCACTTGGAGTGCAACTGCACTGTACAGTTAATGCGGTTTAGTATTATTATTAATTATTATTAAACTCTATTTGTAACCCGCTAGCATCTCCCGAAGGACTCGATGCGGCTTACAAAGGCCAAGGCCTCAACACAACAGCATAACAAATACAACTCAAAGCAAATCAAAAACATAAAGCAATAACAACAAAACATTACACCATAACACAGTAAAAACTAGGGCCGGGCCAAGTAATGGGTACAGATTAAAAAGTGCTGGGTGTGACAGGTGGTATGTTGGATTTCAGGGCAAGTGCAATGTGCAGAGAATCTTAAAATTCTAATAAAGTGCTTCTGGGACATAATGCTGGAGTTTTCCTATTCCGGAAAGGCACATCGGAATAGCCAGGTCTTCAAGCTCTTCCTAAAGACTGCCAACGTGGGTGCTAGTCTGATGTCTTTGGGGAGGGTGTTCCAAAGTCGAGGGGCAACCACAGAAAAGGCCCTGTCCCTCGTCCCCACCAAACGCGCCTGTGACGCAGGAGGGATTGCAAGCAGGGCCTCTCCGGATGAACGAAGAGTGCGTGGGTTCATAAACGGAGATGCGGTCACGCAGGTAGGCAGGTCCCAAACCGTTTAGGGCTTTGTAGGTAAGCACCTGCACCTTGAATTGGGATCGGAAGGTAAACGGCAGCCAATGGAGCTCCTTAAACAGGAGGGTTGACCTCTCTCTGTAAAGAGCACCAGTTAACATCCTGGCCGCCGCCCATTGGACCAGTTGGAATTTCTGAGCCGTTTTCAAGGGCAGCCCCATGTAGAGCGCATTACAGTAATCCAATCTAGAGGTGACCAAGGCATGGACCACCCCGGCCAGATCAACCTTTGAGGTACGGTCGCAGTTGGCGCACGAGTCTCAATTGTGCAAAAGCCCTCCCGGACACCGCCGACACCTGAGCCTCAAGCGTAAGTGATGAATCCAAGAGGACACCAAACTGCGGACCTGTGACTTCAGAGGGAGTGTAACCCCGTCCAGCACAGGTTGCCACCCTATACCCCGATCAGGTTTACGATCGACCAGGAGAACCTCTGTCTTGTCGGGATTGATCTTCAGCTTGTTCCTCCTCATCCAGATAGACACAGTGGCCAGGCACTCGTCCAGGACCCGGGAGGCCTCCTTGGAATTAGGTGGAAATGAGTAGTAGAGTTGTGTGTCATCTGCGTAGAGATGGCACTTAACTCCAAAACTCCGGATGACTTCTCCCAGCAGTTTCATGTAGATGTTAAAAAGCATGGGAGTACCACTTTAACCCAGTGCTATGAAAATAGTCATTTACGAACTCTTCAGCGTTCTCTGCCTTTTGCAGGCAGGTGAAGGCAGTAAATAAAGGAATGAGGGGCGGGCTGCTACGGATTTATAGAAATCTGTAATTTTAAAATAGTTTTTTTTAAATGGCTTTCATAACCATTTGGAGATCATAACCTTTTGGAAATAATGATCTTTGAGCGGAGAGCCAAAAACCTGTTTGAGTAGAATCTTCTCAAGTGGTACACAACCAGATGTAATTGTGTAAGGCAAATTGTAATTGTGGAAGGCAAAGTGAAAGAAGAAAGTGCAAAGATACTTTTAACATTAACAACCTTAGATATGCAGATGACACCACTTTGATGACCGAAAGTGAGGAGGAGCTGAGGAGCCTTCTAATCAAGGTGAAAGAAGAAAGCACAAAAGCTGGGTTGCAGTTAAACATAAAAAAAACAAGATTATGGCAACAAGAGTGATTGACAACTGGGAAATAGAGGGAGAAAACGTGGAGGCAGTGACAGACTTTGTATTTCTAGGTGCAAAGATTATTGCAGACGCAGACTGCAGCCAGGAAATCAGAAGATGCTTACTTCTTGGGAGGAGAGCAATGACCAATCTCGATAAAATAGTGAAGAGTAGAGACATCACACTGGCAACGAAGATCCGCATAGTTAAAGCAATGGTATTCCCCATAGTCACCTATGGATGTGAGAGCTGGACCATAGGGAAGGCTGAGCGAAGGAAGATAGATGCTTTTGAGGTGTTGGAGGAAAGTTCTGAGAGTGCCTTGGACTGCGAGAAGATCCAACCAGTCCATACTTCAGAAATAAAGCCCGACTGCTCATTGGAGGGAAGGATAGTAGAGGCCAAGATGAAGTACTTTGGCCACATCATGAGAAGGAAGGAAAGCTTAGAGAAGACAATGATGCTGGGGAAAATGGAAAGAAAAAGGAAGACCGAGGGCAAGATGGATGGATGGGGATCCTTCAAGTGACTGGCTTGACCTTGAAGGAGCTGGGGGTGGTGATGGCAGACAGGGAGCTCTGGTGTAGGCTGGTCCATGAGGTCATGAAGAGTCAGAAGCGACTGCACGAATGAACAACAACAAAGGCAAATTGGCTTTCAGTTGTTAGGAAACAGAATATGCCAGTGCAAAAAATAGCAGTGCTTCACATGAGTTTTTCAGTTGCCCCAAAATACATCTACTCTTCCATAAAACAACCTGTTTTATGTTATGCACTTGAGACAAAATGAAGTAGACTTTGGTAAAAATAACATTTGGTTTACTCACAATTCCATGTGTTCAGCATACACAGGTACACAATTTACCAGCCCAGTTACAGATATGTTTGAGATAATCTGTGTGCAGGTGGCTCAGGGCATCTTTATTACAATCAACAGGAGGCAAGTGTTCGTCTGAGCTGTCTCAAAGACTAATAGAGCCCGAGCTCTGTGCTTATCTCAGAGCTGATCATGTGGTCTGCAGCCCCTCCCACAACTTCTCATGACAACACAGAGCAAAGGAAAGAAAGCTGCATACGAGAATATATATATATAATAAATAGGCAACAGGATTATATACAAACAAATTACTTGATGAAAGTTGTAATTTTCAATACAGGCTGCTATAGAATTGTGGAAATCTGTAATTTTTCAATATATTTTATTTAATTTTTATACTCATGAAACATTTTGATCCATTACAATCTGGTTTCAGGCCAGGCTACAGGACACAGATGGCATTGGTGACCTTGGTGGATGATCTACAAAGAGAGCTAGACAGGGGGAGTATATCCTATCCGTGTTGGTCCTCTCAGCAGTGTTCAATACCATCGACCATGGTATCCTCCTGGGTAATCACTCAGGAATGGAGCTTGAAGGCACTGTTTTACAGTGGTTCCAGTCCTTCCTGGAGAGTTAGACCCAGAAGGAGGGGCTGGGGGACTTCTGTTCGACCGCCTGATCGGTGGCCTGTGGGGTTCCTCAGAGCTCCATCTTGTCCCCCTACATGAATCCGCTGGGAGAGATTGTCCAGAGTTTTGGAATTCATTGTCAAATATACAGAGATTACACCCAACTTTATTACTCCTTTTCGCCTAAAGCCAAGGATGCCGCCCTGGTCCTAAATCAGTGTCTGTCATCTGTAATGGATTGAATTAGGGCTAACAAGAAGCACTTGCATGTTGCAGCAGTTCCACTGGCTACCAGTCTGCTTCAGGGCTAAATACAAAATGCTGGTTATTATCTTTAAAGCCCTAAATGCTTCGCTCCCAGACTATTTGGCAAACTGCATCTCCTCATACAAACTGTCTTCGGCACTATAGTCAGCGGGGAGGATCCTGCTCTCGATCCCACCCCTGTCTCAAACACGGCTGGTGGGAATGACAGGGGGGCTTTCTCCGTGATTGCCCCCCGACTCCAGAAATCTCTTCCCAAAGAACTAAAAACAGACTCCTCCTTACTCATTTATGTTTCTTAGCATATAGAGAGGAGGAGGTTTAGAATATCATGTATATTACCTCAGACTGAAAATGGCATTTCGCTCTAGCCTAGCTGGCTGTATAAAATCTTAATAATTTTAACAGATTTTAGATTTGCTTAAATTTCTGTTGTGTTTTAATGTTAGATATGCAGTGGTTGATCGGTTATGTTATTACTTAATTTTTGTTTGTTATAATTTTAATTTTGTTATAGTTGTGACTCTACTTTAACTCCATTGTTTTAATGTTATGGAATCCTTGGAGTTGTATTTTGGTGCGACACCAACACCTTTTGGCGGAGAAGGCTGAAGACTTTGTAAAATAATTCCCATGATAACATAGAGCCATGGTAGTAACCTCAAACTGCATTTTTATTTCTACAATGCACCCTTTCTCTTCTCTCACATGTAATGCTTTCCCAGTTGCTGTTCCAAGCTGTGTAATTTGCAAGAGAAGTATTTTTTCCCCCTTTAACAGATTTATTGGTATGTCAGAGTCAAGTAGTCTGGAAGATATAATAGTAAGAAATGTGGTCTGATTAGTTTTATCTATTTCTACTGTCCCACAGGGATGTGAAAGATGCACAACTTTCATTTTCTGTCTTTTGAGGAGCTTGCGTGGTATGATTGTATCTTTTTTCCCACTTGTGCAGGGCTGATCTACACTATAGATTGACTGCAGTTTTGCACTTTAACTGCCATGGCTCAATACTATAGAATCCTGGGATTAGTAATTTGGTAAGGCGCAAACATTCTTTGCGCAAGAAAAACCAAACACCTTGTAAAATTTCATAGCATTGGTGCTTTAAAGTAAACTGCATTAATTGTTCATTGCAGGTGCTCCAAAGGTCCCTTCCACACTGGCCCTATATCCCAGGATCTGATCTCAGATTATCTCTTATCCTAGGTTATCTGGCAGTGTCAACTCATATAAACAAGTTTAAAGTAAATAATTTGGGATCATATCCAGGGATATAGAGAAGGGCCCTAAGTCAGAAACTCACTCGACAATCTTTGTGATATGAGAGGCTTATGTGCAAGACAAGAACTGGGGTGCCCAAAGTATGACCCACAGTGCATTTGGCCCTCCAAAGTAGTTTACCCGTCCCCTGCTCTAAACTTTAGACTACTGCCCTCACATCCTGGCGCTACCAACCATGCTCTTCTTGCTCCTTAACTCTCCTTTCCTTTCTCTCCCCCCAAAACAGAGGGAATCTTTTCCACCTTCCTCTTTTTAGCTCTCCTTTTCTCTCTCATTCCCCTCAAAAGTGGAGGGATCATCTGCAGCCCATTTTTGCTCCCCCCAAAAGGGAGGAAGGAGGGGAGAAAGAAAGAGGAAAGGAAGAAAGGAGGATAGGTCAGAAACAGAGGGAAGGAACTGAGAAAGAAAGGTAGGTAAGTAGGAAAAAAAGAGGGGAGGGATTCATAAAGCATTGCATAGTGGCTTGAACCTCCAACTGTAACTTTGAGCCCACTGGGTGATTTTAGCCGTCACACTCAACCTCAGATGAAGACAAAAGCAAGTCCCCTTTGAATAATTCTTGACGAGAAAACTCAGTGAGAGAGTTGCCTTAGGGCAGTGTTTCTCAACCTTCCTAATGCTGTGACCCCTTAATACAGTTCCTCATATGGTGACCCCCAACCATAATATTACTTTGGTTGCTACTTCATAACTGTAATTTTGCTACTGGGTTGTTGTAGGTTTTTCCGGGCTATATGGCCATGTTCTGGAGGCAATTTTTCTCCTGACGTTTCGCCTGCATCTATGGCAAGCATCCTCAGAGGTAGTGAGGTCTGTTGGAAGTAGGAAAAATGGGTTTATATATCTGTGGAATGACCAGGGTAATGTTTCAGCTGATCACCTTGATTTGCATTCAATGGCTTGGAAGCGCCTGGGGGGAATCTCTTGTTGAGAGTGATTTTATGTGCCTGTTTGTTTCCCCTCTGTTGTTTTGCTGTTGTAATTTTTGAGTTTTTTAATACTGGTAGCCAGATTTTGTTCATCTTCATGGTTTCCTCCTTTCTGTTGAAATTGTCCACATGCTTGTGGATTTCAATGGCTTCTCTGTGTAGTCTGACATGGTGGTTGTGAGAGTGGTCCAGCACTTCTGTGTTCTCAAATAATATGCTGTGTCCAGGTTGGTTCATCAGGTGCTCATAGCAGAGCACCTGATGAACCAACCTGGACACAGCATATTATTTGCGGAATATGTGCTCACTCTGAGTGCAGCTACACTGTGGAATTAGTGCAGTTCAACACCACTTTTAACTGTCATGGCTCAGTGCTGTGGAATCATGGTTGGTGATGCACCAGCACTGTTTGACAGAGAAGACTTGAAAACTTATAAAACTAAAATTCTCATGATTACATAACATAGAGCCATAATAGTTTGAGATGAGTCAGACTGCATTAATTCTACAATATGGAATCACCCTTCCTCTTCTCTTGTGTTGAGACTTTTAAAATTCCACTCTTTTCAATTACATCATCTTCTTTTTTCACTAGTAGCTTTCAGGGATCCAGTTTGTGTTTTGCATAATTACGTGTTTAGTCATACTTTGCTCACGAAAGAAGCACTGAGCTACTTAATAGTTTGGTGATGGATCTGCTAGAAGTGATAGTGACAGGAAGTGAATGTTGATGTACAGTATAAACAAAGAAAATAGAAAGCTATTTATTTATTTACGACATTTATATGTCATCCTTCTTACTCCCCAAAGGGGATTCAGACTGGCTTACAAGATAGAATCAGTTTAGCCATCGCCATAATCAACCCACATGTAGTTTTAATTGTTATGCCATGTTGTATTACCCTATTGTAATCTTTTAAAAATCATGATTTCTTGTTTTAAGTTGATTTTATTGTATGCTGCCTTGAGATCTTTGGTTAGAGAGGTGGGATATAAGCATTTAAAGAAGTAACAATGCTCACTGAGTAGTTCATCTGTGTTCTGAACCTTCAAGAAACAGTATAATTGTTTAATTATGGTTGTGTTCTTAGTAATTGTAGCTTTCATGTGTCTCCTGTAGTGGTGGCAATGTAAAGATATTGCAAATTTAAGACAGGATAGGATCTTAAAGGAGACATATGCTGAGATTATAAGCATGAAATTGCTATGTATGAGATCATGCTGATACACACAGGCAGTCTGAGTATTCTGCTTACTATGAATACTATTTATTTAATTGCTTCTTAGACCCTAGTCAATGTAAACATTATAGATCACTGCTTGTAATTTCATCAACATTATTTGGCTTTTAAAATTCTATATAGTTATATTAAGTTGCTTTTGAGAATATAAATGATAGTTTTTCAGAAAATGCTAACAAAAAGCTTACTTCAGAGGGGAGTAAATTCCAGGGATGGGGATTAGTATTGGCCCTTTGCAGGTGTTTGGAGATTCTGCTTTGCTACACTTTGGTATTTTTTTATAACCTGCATTTTTAAAGAAACAGCCCAAAGATGGGCAGTTTTGCTTTTATCTGCTATCTAATTCCGAATACCATTTTTCTGGCATCTGAGGAAAGAGAAGAGCAGTCAATCAGCCAACATGCCTAGCCGCAAGTAGCTGATGAGAGCCCTTCTGGATTGTAAACCATTGCTTTGGTCTATGAGGAATATGAAGAGCAGCCAACATCTGATGAACTGAAATCAACTCCCTCATTGCTCCCCCTCTTTCATTGTGTGGCTTATGTTATTTAGATTGTAAAGCTCTGTGTAACCACTCTGGGAGGGTTTTGGCTGAAGGGAGAGAATGATAAATATTTTAAAATATTAAGTAATAAATAAATAACCTTCCTGACCTTGATGAGGTGGCAGTGTTTTCAACTGGAATTGAAGTGGCACTTCAGGTTGCTCTTGAATTCATCTATGTCACAGAAAACATTTTTAAAAATCCGTGTGTCCCCTGGGCAACATCCTTGCAGACGGCCAATTCTCTCACACCAGAAGCGAATTGGAGTTTCTTAAGTCACTCCTCACACACACACAGACACACACATATCTGGAGACCCTAGTAGCTTCAGTAACAGTGAGGGGCAAATTCCAGCTTTGTCTGCCACCATTCTTGGACTGATATAGTCGAGGCGCAACAAATCACATCTTAGTAGCCTCAAGATAGAAATGTTCCAATACATTTTATGTGGAACTATCTTTGCCTTGGTTGAGAAACTGATTAGTGCCGATTGTGTCAACTGAACTGCTTGTTTGGCCCTTTTGCTTACACATATCTGGACTCAAAGTAGTGTTCTGCTTAGCGATTAGTCAGAGAGTAAAAGAGATTAGTTTATTTGATGGACCAATTCCTTCTGTATAGACTGTTAAAATTTTTATGCTGCAAGAGAAAGACCCCATTTTCCATAACACGCCTTTGTAAGATCCATTTGGTTGCCATGTTGAGATAGGCCTTTTCAGTTATGGAACCCACCAAGTGAAATTTTCTCCAAATTGGAATCATGGTGGTTTGCTCTACAGTTTAAAAATTTATTTCTAATGTATAGGTAGAATCTCTTTCCTTGTAATTTGAATTTGTTTCTGAAGCAACAAAAAAGGTAGTGTCATCTTTAACAAATCATCCCTACAAATACTTAAAGAAAGCAATCATATCACATCTTGGGGGGTATCTTCACTGTAGAATTAATGCTCTTTGACACCACTTTAACTGCCATCGTTTATGCTTTAGAATCTTGGGAAGTACCAACAATGTTTGGCAGAAAAGGCACTGAACCATATCTGTTAAAGTGATATCAGACTACATTAATTCTACTGTGTAGATGCAGCCTCGGTCTTCTTTTCTACAAGTTGTTCTTGCTAAAGCTTGGTTTACAGATCTTTGATAACCTTGGTCATTCTTCACTTTCCAGCTTGTCAACATACTTCTTGAATGTTGTGTCCAGGATTGGACACAGTGTCCTAGGCGACGTTTGACCAAAGCAGAATAGAGTGACATTCCTACTTTCCTTGATCAGGACACAATATGGTTTTTAATGCACCCTAGTATTACATTGGCTTTTTTCTTGCCTGCTGCATATATATAAAATTATCCACGAGAAAGCAGTGGACAGTTAATATTTAACTTCTATTTAAGGTAATTATTTTGTTCCTGCTTTGAATACATAATCTTGAGCAGGATATGGCTGTAGTTGTTATGACTTTAATTATTCAAGTTTGACACTAAAAGTTTTTTTTCTGGGAATTGTTTCCTAAAGAACAAATATTTGAAAGGCTCACGAAGACTGCAAATACTTTGCAGTGTGGGAATAGAATTTCAAAGCATCATCCAAAATAAGAGATCTCATCTAAAGCTAGGTATGTCAACCAAGATCTAATATCTCTTTGTAAGTTGGACAGTCATTTGGCCCACTTATTTGAAGAGCTTGGAATACCATGTAACCCAAAGGGATGTTTTCTGGTGCTTTATCTGCAGTATTGTTGGAATAATATTTTTTAAAATAAAAATGTTTTTTTATCAAGTGACAGTGTGTCTTAACAATGAAAAATGTGTAGCGGCAGAGATACTAATACAGCAAAAATTGTATAGAATAGTAAGGAAAACATATTTTGTGAAATGTTTTGGTGGGCAGACTCAGAAACTGAACATTGATATGTGTTCTCACCTCTGAACATTTTTTATTCCTCTTCTAGATCCTTAATAATTATAAGTACTTTGGATGGACGGATTGCTGCTCTAGATCCAGAAAATGGTGGCAGAAAACAGTGGGACCTAGATGTGGGATCTGGTTCTCTTGTCTCATCTAGTCTCAGTAAACCAGAGGTAAGTTTACTGCTTCCAGCCACTTTCTTGTAGAGTTTATAGGTGTATTTTTTTATTTAAAAGATATTCTTAAGTGTTTTTGCTTGGGAGTTGGCTTCATTGAGCTGTTATGTTTACTTTGAGATAAGGAAACATGTAGAAAATGTATAGAACATTTGTTTAACTCTTTATCTTGCTGAATTGCAAGCTTTGCTCTTAATTAGAAATGTAAAATTATAGTTTTTTTCAGTGAATGTTTTCAGACAAAAAGAGAATTGAACTTTACTCTCTATCTTCCAATTCCTTTTTAAAACTTCTGGGTATCATAATTGTAATAATTGAATAAGTACTTTGCTAGGCTGAATCAGCTTCTGCATGTTCATACTTCTGAAGTTTGAGTGAATTTGCATGAATAGTAAAGTCTCTAGGCCTCATAGAACATGACATAAGAAACATTGTTCTGAGAAAGTTGCTTTCACAGAAGATGTGTCCTGAAGAAATTAGGCTTCTTCACCTATCAGTGTTTTTAGCCAGTAAAAGAAGGAATGGCAGTGGCTTCTACTTAGGAAAATAGACAGGCAAAGTGTAGAGTTGCCCACCTATTGTCTGTAGATGGAACTTCTTTCCTTGACTTTAAACCATTGTTTTTATGTTTTGTCTTTCTTTGGTAAGGAAGTGTTATAGACCCCATGAAAAGTAAATTCATGATTTCAGCGCTGGTGTAATTAGGTGTTATTTATCCCAAAACAAAAAGTAATAATGATAGAGGTTCATCATCTCTCTGACTCAGCTCTCATTCATATGATTTTTTTTTCTGAAAACCTAAACATACATTGCCCAGGCAAAGGCTGTCTTTTGTTTTTATGTGCCTACTAGCCGTCCCTTGTCATGCGTTGCTGTGGCCCAGTCTGTTTATATGTGTTTTGTGTGGGTGTGTGTGGGTGTGTCTATATTTGTGTGTTTGTGTATATATGTGATATAATTTTGCGCATGCATTGTAATGTATTTTTTTTGTTTTTGGCTTTTTAATTCTCTTCTGCTGTGTTTTTCAGTGTTTTTATGAGTGATGGTCACTTGTTGGCCTGATAGGTTCATTGTGTCCAAATTTAGTGTCAATTCGTCCAGTAGTTTTTGAGTTATGTTAATCCCACAAATGAACATTACATTTTTATTTACGTAGATCAGGGGTCCTCAAACTATGGCCTGAGGCCGGATATAGCCCTCCAAGGTCATTTATCCAGCCCTCACTCAGGGTCAACCTAAGTATGAAACGACTTGAAAGCACACAACAACAACAATCTTATCTCATCAGCCAAAAGTAGACCCACACTTCCCATTGAAATACTAATAAGTTTATATTTGTTAAAATTGTTCTTCACTTTAATTATTGTATTGTTTTAAAGTGCTATTTGCACAAATAATATATGTGCAGTGTGCATAGGAATTCATTCATGYTTTTTTCAAATTATAATCCGGCCTTCCAACAGTTTGAGGGACTGTTACCTGGCCCTCTGTTTATAAAGKTTGAGGATTCCTGATATAGATTGTCAGACACAGGGTTCCTACTGCTTGTTGTTGCTTAATATCCAAATCTACCAATAACAGTGACCACTAGTGAATGTCCACTCTAGTTCTTGTGGCTACCCAATGGTTGAACTTTATTACTTTTTTCTTCATTGTAAGTCTGCAGAATAGTCTTTTAGGATCATAATTCTAATTAAATTTCTAGCAAACAGTTCGGAGACCATGGGTTCCTTGAACTGTTATTTTTTWAAAAAATCTGTAAWTTTTTTTTGCTCCTTGTTAGGGAATGTTTTCAGCCCTTACAGAAAGTGCAAATGTTCAGAAATTGTCTAGATCAGGGGTCCACAAACTTTATAAACAGAGGGCCAGGTAACAGTCCCTCAAACTGTTGGAGGGCCGGATTATAATTTGAAAAAAAAAACCAAAAAACCATGAATGAATTCCTATGCATGTTGCACACATCTTMTTTGTAATGTAAAAAACACTTAAAAGCAATCCAATAATTAAAATGAGGAACAATGTTAACAAATATAAATGTATTAGTATTTCAGTGGGAAGTATGGGCCTGCCTTTGGCTGATGAGATAGGATTGTTGTTGTTGTGTGCTTTCATGTCGTTTCAGACTTAGGTTGACCCTGAGCAAGGGCCGGGTAAACAACCTTGGGGGGCTGCATCCGGCCCCCGGGCCTTAGTTTGAGGACCCCTGGTCTTGATCATGGGTCCTCAAACTACGGCCCAGGGGCCGTATACGACCCTCCAAGGTCATTTACCTGACCCTTGCTCAGGGTCAACCTAAGTGAAACAACTTGAAATTTGCACACAACAACAACAGTCCTATCTCATCAGCCACAAGCAGGCCCACACTTCCCATTGAAATATTAATAAGTTTATATTTGTTAAAATTGTTCTTCATTTTAATTATTGTATTGTTTTAAAGTGTTTTTTGCACTACAAATAAGATATGTGCAGTGTGCATAGGAACTCATTCATTTTTTTTTCCAAATTACAATCCGGCTCTCCAACAGTTTGAAGGACATGTCCTGGCTCTCTGTTTAAAAAGTTTGAGGACCCCTGGTCTAGATGGACAAGATAATTTTTTAAAAAAATGTAAATTCTAATGAATGTAAAACAAATTTATCACATAAATGTTTTTAATCTACATACGTAAAGTTGTAGGCTAATTGGCTTTTAGGGGCTTTCTTCTTCTACATTTGCTCTAATTTACTAAAGCTACCCCTTATTTCAGGCCCATTCCATCTGCCATTGGGCTCATGCTGCTTGGGTAGTTCTCCTTCTTCTCAGTCTTTCCACAGCTCTTCTCTTTGTTTTTGCTTATTTATTTTTTTAAAAAATGGTGATAGTAGAAGCTTTCCTCTCCACAGTTTCTTTCTCAACCTCAATTAATGTAAAATATGTTTTCACATACTGTTTTTAACAAATGCTATCAAATATTGCTTCTTAAAATTGTGCTACTTAACAATTATGTGTGGTACAAATGACATCCTTCAAAAGTGTTATAATTTATATTTGTCCTAAAACAGGAGTGTTGAGCTGATGTTTTAAAAGCTGACATACAGGCTTAGATACTATGTATTAGGGACATTCGTCGTCCAAACATTAATTTGACTGCTTAACTTAAATATTAGAAGGGGTATACAGAATATAGGTTATCACAAGGTACATAAATATGCCACATGAGGTATCAATGTAAAAATATTTTTAATCAGTGAAGTTGAAAAAAATACCTTTTTACTTTGTTGATATGGCATATGTAAGTGTCTCGTGGTAACCTATTTTTTGTTATTAAGGTAACACGTGACTTCCTAGATGACTCATTCTTGCATTAGGAGGTGAGGTAATGCTTTAGTGGAAAGGGAAAGGGGAGGGGTGATGTCATTTCTTTATCTAACTTGCATGCTTCTGCTTATTTTTATTGCCTACTGTGAAATCCCCTTCTATTTCCTCACAAAAGACACTGTTTAATCCTTCCCCTAATCCCAGTGGAAGCACATGTCCCCAATCTTTGAGAAGCCTGTGGTGATCTCACTGTTTTATATATTCTTTCCCCTCCTGTAGATGTGCAAATAAAAATGGACAAGTCAAGTGGATTTTCCTAGGTTTTATTGATCAAGAAAAGTCTTATTTTTAACTTCATTTTGGATTGGCTTCTTTGCCCTGATATCTTATGACCATGAGCATCCCTTAGCCAGAATTCTGAAACCCAAAATACTCCAAAATCAAACTTGTCCATATAATCTAATGACACCTTCTTTTCGAATTATTCAGGATTTACAGACTTTGTTTCATGCACAAAATTATTAAAAATACCTATTTAAAATCTGCCCTCAAGTTATGTATATAAAATTAATATGCAACATAATTAATTTTATGCCTAGAGTTGGGATTCATCTCTTAAGCTATTTCATTATGTTTGTACATGCAAATGCACATATTCCAAAGTAGGAAATCTGACACATTTCTGTTCCTAAGCATTTTGGATACAGTGTGCCCAACCTGTAGTGTAATCATTCCATTTTACTATATGGGCTTTTAGTAAAATTGTTCTAATGTTTTTATAGTTATTTAGGACAGGGATATACCCATTCTAAAAATACTTAAATCAGTGTAATTATTATCGAAGGCTTTCATGGCCAGAATAACTGGGTTGTTGTAGGTTTTTCGGGCTATATGGCCATGTTCTAGAGGCATTCTCCCCTGACGTTTCGCTTGCATCTATGACAAGCATCCTCAGAGGTTGTGAGGTTTCACTACCTCTGAGGATACTTGCCATAGATGCAGGCGAAACATCAGGAGAAAATGCCTCTAGAACAGGGGTCCTCAAACTAAGGCTTGGGGGCCGGATGCGGCCCTCAAAGGTCATTTACCCGGCCCTCACTCAGGGTCAACCTAAGTCTGAAATGACTTGAAAGCACACAACAACAACAATCCTATCTCATCAGCCAAAAGCAGACCTACACTTCCCATTGAAAAGTTTATATTTGTTAAAAATGTTCTTCGTTTTAATTATTGTATTGTTTTAAAGTGTTTTTTGCACTACAAATAAGATATATGCAGTGTGCATAGGAATTTATTCATGCTTTTTTCAAATTATAATCCAGCCCTCCAACAGTTTGAGGAACTGTGACCCAGCCCTCTGTTTAAAAAGTTTGAGGACCCCTGCTCTAGAACATGGCCATATAGTCTGAAAAAACCTACAACACAGTGTAATTATTTTTCATGAAAAAACTTGATTTTGTAATATTCTAAGATACAGCTGCTTGCATTATTAAACAGTTTGGGTTTTGTTTTTAAACCTTGTCACTTTGTGCGCTTTCTCTTGCAAAATGTAATTTTACATCCACTTGATAAAAGGATACTGAGCAGTAATTTCTGGTCAGGGTTGTGTACCTATTACTTGCATGCCATGCCTGACCGTTTGCCACTAATATGTCCCCCAGCAAGTCTTGGGCATGAGCTATAGTGCAGATTACACTATGTAACAAAATTTTCTGTTCCTGGTTTGAAAGTGTTGCTTCCTGTTTAATTGTGTGGTATTTACTTTGATAGTAGTTGTTCTACTCCAGGGGCCCACACACTTTTTAAACAGAGGGCCAGGTCAGAGTCCCTCTAACTGTTGGAGGGCCGGGTTATAATTTGAAAAAAGCATGAATGAATTCCTATGCACACTGCACATATCTTATTTGTAGTGCAAAAAACAATACAATAATTAAAATGGAGAACAATTTTAACAAATACAAACTTATTAGTATTTCAGTGGGAAGTGTGAGTCTGCTTTTGGCTGATGAGATAGGATTATTGTTGTTGTTGTGTGCTTTCAAGTCGTTTCAGACTTAGGTTGACCCTGAGCGAGGGCCGGGTAAATGACCTTGGAGGGCCGTATCTGGCCCCCAGGCCTTAGTTTGAGGACCCCTGTTCTACTCCATAAACTTTGTTTTTGTGACTGCCACAATTAATTTTGAATTGGCTGAGACTCTGTGAAATATTCACCACAAAAATATAGCAAAATGTGCTGTAGGGTGTCCTGCAGAAACAAAGGCTTTACAGTTTAATAAGCTTTTTCCATGGTTTTTTTTTATGATAGAACTAATTAGGAAATGACATTTTTAACTCAGGAACAAAAATCTTGTTACATAGTGTTGTGGGGGTGCTGTCCTTTTGAAAGGATTGTGCATTGGCAACCCAAGGTGGAATGTGTAGACTTTGAGGAATGAGTCTATTTAAAATGTTGTGGTGAAGTGGCTTTATCATAGCTTCATCTGTAGAAGTTGGGTTTTTTTTTATTGTGACTGTGACTCTTACAAATGGATTGCGTGCACAGTGCAACATTCCAAAAATTATAAACACAGTGATCGGTTGTTTAATCCCACCCAATCCAGTACACCCAATCACACATAATCTGTCCTCTGTTCCATTGCATACATCACACAATCTCCTTCATTAGGAACATTCTCTTTTCGGATTTGAGCAATTTTCTGTTTCAGTGATCTTTTTGTTCAGCTTTTCACCCTTGAATCATCCTTAGCTTCAACTCTATTAAAACCTCCTATTGACCATTTGTCAATCAGTAATCCCTGACTTGAGATCTTCAGTCATTCAAGAAATATGCTTTATTTCAGGAAAAGATTTCCCAATACTTATGGATGTTTTCACTGCGTTTTCTGCTTAGGAAAGAAGCACAACATAGAAACAAATAATCATTGTCAAACTTTTACACACAAAGTCATTAATTTAATACACTTTATAATAATAAAAATAAAATACAGTAATAACAATAATCTTTATTTATATCCCATCCCCTCTCCAACAGGACTCAGGGTGGTTTACAGAAAGTGCAAATAAAGTAGCCAACCATGTCACCAAAGAGAGGCTACTTTATACAGCCTCCATAGGTATCTGCTTGAGAACAATGTCATTGTTAAAAAATTTAATTTTAAAGCCTCCCACAAAACTGAAGTCATATTTGGCTTCATTATTGACATCACTGAGAGGTCAATTTCCAGAATCAAAGACAGTTAATTCCTTTCCAGTATTGATCCAGACTTTCCGTCTCTTGATGGTTATTGTTCCAGTTTCTCCCCTGAGGCATAAGCAGATGGAGCTATCCACTTCAATGGGATAACTTCCTTTTCTAAAAAGAAGCAGGTCACATACAAGGGCAAGGGCAAGCATCTTAGTCCTGCAATCAGGGCAAATAGTAGCATTTCACAGATTTAACAGAGGTTCTATAATTGTAGTTGTTTATTATAGTTGAAAATATTTCCAAATGGAAAGACTCATAAACAGGCATCAGTGATAAAATATTATGATTAGGATTGCATATAATTCTGATTTGCCCACTTCAGGAACCTGGGGAAGTTGTCTCCATCTGTTTTGGCCATTTGGCTTTTACAACAATAATTATTGAAAGAACTGATTTGGATAATCTTTGACATAAAACGCCTGAAATATTATGGTGACTAAATGGTTAACTAGGGCAGAGTTTTCACTTTCCTTGCTTTATAGCAGTTCTTTGGTTCCTCAGTATTAAGATATTGGAATTGTGCATCATATATGCATTCATTTTGGAAAGGAATTTGTCTCAAAGCACTGTTAATCTTCTTGAGTATTATATTCTTTTATTTAGCACTACATGGCAATGTTTTGAACCAAGGATAAATATGAATAAAAGTTGTTTCCAATTTCTGACTCTAAAAGTGGCATTGCCATCGCATGAACAGGTGGTTTCCATCCATATTGGAACAAAAATGGACTGATAGCACAATGTCCATATACTTTGAGAGTATTTGTTATATATTGTTCTAGAACATGGCCATATAGCCCGAAAAAACCTACAACAACCCATTTGTAATATATTACGAAAGTTAAGACATCTCTGACATCTGTTTTTCATTTTTGATCTTTCATTTACTATGTAAACTCTCTAAATCAGTATGAAGATACAGCAAATCAAAATGCTTTTCTTGTTTCATCAATTGCTGGATGAGAAATCCATACTTATGTAAATCCCATTCTTTTGTTGGTCATACAATAGTTAGGACAAGCAGTTGGATTTAGGCCTTATATCTCTTTTTGATATTATATCCTTCCTCCACCCACCTCATTTAAATGGTACTGTATTTTTTATTAATGTTCTCTAGGTATTTGGGAATAAAATGATAATTCCTTCTTTGGATGGAGACCTTTTCCAGTGGGATCGTGATAGAGGAAGCATGGAAGCTGTTCCTTTCACTATCGAATCTCTTCTTGAATCATCCTATAGATTTGGTGATGATGTTGTTCTGGTTGGAGGGAAATCTTTAACAACTTATGGACTGAGTTCACGTTCGGGAAAGGTAAAAAGCTAACAAAGAACTGTAGATTCTTAGTACCAGACATGTCACAAATATCTAGCTTCTGGCTTCCACATATATTGCTGAGATGAGTTGTATTTATGATTGTATGTTGTGCCTTTCAGCATACAGCAATGCATACAACTTAGAAGTTTTTTTTCATTGTTGCTTCTGCCTAATAGTGTGTATTATTCAAACCTATGGATTTGTGTGATGCCACAGTCTCTAGAGCTGTTTAGAGATTGGGGCTTGGGCCCAAATCATTTCAAATGAAGAAGATTTGTAGTATTTGGTGGGCCATTTATATAATCTGAGAAAAACAGACAAAGGAGGAGGGAGCAGAAATGCCCGGCAAAACGGATTAAGTGAGCAGGATTTTATCCAGTTGTTGTACAGGAAGCGGTTACATGTGCAATATACTTGAGGCTCGGATCTGCCCATCTTGTATTTTCTCCCTCTCCCAGCAGTAGCAGCGTCCCTCTATTTTTTTAAAAGTTTCCTAGGCTCCCCCTCCAGAGAGGACCCTGCCGGGAACTCGCTTTCCCAGCAGCACTTGCATAGGGCAGGCATTGAAAAGTTCCTCTCGGAGCATGATGGAAGTTGAAGTTTCTCTCTATTTCTCAGCCAATAAAAAGCCTGGTTGTGTTCATACTCTGTTTGGCTGAAAATTGACACAACCGGCAACTACAATTCCCAGAACCTTCTCTTGCGATTTGCCTTATTTTTAAAAATGTTATGGTTAAAACTCAAAATAATTCTTAAAAAATCAATAGATTGAATTGTTTTGAAACTCGACAGGCCTGCAGTTGTAAATGGGGTCTAAAACTAAGGAGAGGTCATCTGGAGTTTTGGAGTTGGGTGCCATCTCTACGCAGATGACACGCAACTCTACTACTCTTTTCCACCTAATTCCAAGGAAGCCCCTTGGGTGCTGGACGAGTGCCTGGCCGCTGTGGCGGTCTGGATGAGGAGGAACAAGCTGAAGATCAATCCCAACAAGACAGAGGTCCTCTTGGTCGATCGTAAACCAGATCGGGGTATAGGGTGGCAACCTGTGTTGGACGGGGTTGCACTCCCCCTGAAGTCACAGGTCTGCAATTTGGGTGTCTTCCTGGACTCATCACTGACGCTTGAAGCTCAGGCGTTGGCGGTGGCCGGGAGGGCCTTTGCACAATTAAGACTCGTGCGCCAACTGCAACCATAGCTTGTGAAGGCGGATCTAGCCAGGGTGGTCCATGCCTTAGTCACCTCCAGATTGGTTTAGTCTACGTGAGGCTACCCTTGAAAACGGCCCGGAAATTTCAATTGGTCCAACGAGCGGTGGCCAGGTTGTTAACTGGTGCTCCTTACAGGGAGCGTTCAACCCTCCTGTTTAAGGAGCTCCATTGGCTGCCATTAATTTTCTGGTCCCAATTCAAGGTGCCTACAAAGCCCTAAACGGTTTGGGACCTGCCTACCTACGTGACTGCATCACTGTGAACGACCCCACACGATATCTTTGATCATCTGGAGAGACCCTGCTCACGCTCCTGCCTCCAACACAAGTGCAACTGGTGGGGACGAGGGGCAGGGCCTTCTCGGTGGTGGCCCCTCGAGTCTGGAACTCACTCCCCAGGGACATCAGACATGGCCCAACGCTGGCAGTCTGTAGGAGGAGCCTGAAGACGTGGTTGTTCCAGTGTGCCTTCCCAGAATAAGGAAACTCCCAGCAATATGTCCCTGAATGCATTTCTTAGTGATCTAGGATTGTCTACATGCTGTATCCCTCTCCAAAATTTCTATCCTCTTTGTATGTCACCTGGTCATGGCCAGCATTATTTTTTAAAATTTTAATCAGTACATTGGCCTTGCCATAGGTTTTTAAACGTTGCTGTGTTATTGTTAATGCTTATTGTTATTTTCTGTTTATGAGTTTATTTATTGTTTGTATTACTATTGTTTTTGTTGTTGTATTGTGGGCTCGGCCTCATGTAAGCCGCACCGAGTCCCTTGGAGAGATGGTAGCGGGGTACAAATAAAGTTTTTTTTATTATTATTATTATTATTATTATTATTATTATTATTATTATTATTAAGGTATGTTTCATGCAGATAGGCCTTAAAATGACTGAGGATAGAGCCTTTAAAATTTCCCATTGTAGCCAATGGGCCGAATCATTGCCAAATGAAAATGGCAACACCCTCCCCTTTCAAATAACTTCCTGATAAACAGAATGAGGGGTCGGCCAACAATGGACCCCAAAACAGGGTGACTTTTGGCTGAATTGCACACCTCTAATGTTTTGGTGTGTATCAGGATTTTCTCTTGCTGAATTTTTTGTGTTAGATGGGTATGTTATTAGTTAAATGTGTGTTGTAGATCATATATCATTTGGGCCCCATCTATAGTAACCATTTAATGCAGTTCAAATCTAGCTTCAAACTGAGGCAGCCAGACAACAAACGCCCAACAAAAGTACATGAAAGAATGTCCTTAATGTTCATATGTACAAAGCAGTATAATAATATATGTGAATCTAAGGTATGTTTTTGTGGGGTTTTGTATTATGTGACTGGTGGAGTCTCCATAGAGCTGTCAGGGTACAAATATAGAAATGGGAGAACCGTTTAGAAGTAAACTTTCCTTCTCATTGTAGGTGAAGTACATTTGCTCAGCCATGGGCTGTCATCGCTGGGATGAGGATGAGATAGAACAGGAAGATATTCTTCTTCTTCATCGGACCCAGAAAACAGTTCGTGCTGTTGGGCCTCGCAACGGCAATGAAAAGTAAGACTAAGGGATATTTGAATGTGGTGCTCCTTCCCTATTTGGATCTAGATGTTGCAGCATACTGTTACAAGATTTCCAAGCAACCAGTTGAATTCTGCAGACAAATTATGGGGGAGTTACTATTTGGTAACTCTGAATTGATTACCACAGGATGACGTGTAAAAACATGCAGTAGTCTGCAATTCCAAGACACGCTTTTTGTTTTTCAGAAAAGATACTATTTGAATTGTCTACTGCAATAATTATTAGCCTGTATAAAAGTTATTTGTAAGTTCAACATTTCTTGGATGTTTTAGTTCAATTCAGATTAATAGACTTGCATTACTTCAGAAATCTTACTATGTCTTCTGTTACACAAATTTAAAATAGGTTTGATTTGGAGGCACATTCTTGAATTTTTATTTCTTCATTTTTAACTTTTTAAAGGTGGAATTTTAGTGTTGGTCACTTTGAGCTGCGCTATGTTCCAGACACTGAAACAAGAACGGGATTTATTGAAGGCCATATAAAACCAAATCTAAACAAAGATGATTCAAAAGTAATTTCGGACATGGAAGAACAGCAGGAGGCTATAATGAAGGATACAGTGATAAAGGTCTCAGTAGCTGATTGGAAGGTTATGGCATTTAATAAGCAAGGAGGACATCTGGAATGGGAATATCAGGTACTGGCGATAGAAACATATAAATGCTTTTGCTGTACTGTCCCAGTTTTCTTGCTCTTTTTCTATTATAAATCTTTGAGATACTATTATTATGATTGGCTATTGTTCAGTAATATTTATCAGCCATTTAAAGGAAGTAAAAAAAAAACCCTGCACACTGAAAAATGTTACAGAGGAAATGTATTGTATTGATCTTAAAGCACCGTGTTTACACCTGTAGTTTTGCAATCCAGTTGCTTCTGCCTGGCTTGTTAAAGATGGCAAGGTGATTCCAATCAGTCTCTTTGATGATACAAGCTATGCTGCTGGCAATGATGTCTTAGAAGATGATGAAGATCTTATGGAAGCTGCTAGAGGAGCTACGGAGTCCAGTGTCTATTTAGGTATGGTGTCTGTTTATATAATTCTTAGTTACTTATTTATAGTCTATGTTTCTCCCAAAAAAGAAATAAAACAAATAATTGAAAACATTAAAAAGGAGTCAACTAAAAAGATTTCCTTTTCTCTCTCTCTCTATATATATATATGTATGTATGTATGTATAATTTTTATCTTTTTTATTATCATTTTTTATTTTTCCTCCGCTTTCCTTCCCTCAACTTCACCTCCTCTTACACCTCATTTTCTCTTGCTGCTTCTTTTTCTTATCTTTCCTATTGGATATTGTTCTCGCACTTTCCATGTACACTATCTTCTTAACTAAAAAACCTAATTTATTTATTTGTTTGTTTGTCATGTCAGGGCAACCAGTCAATTAGATTACATTTCTAACAGAACAAAGCAAACAAACACACAAAATTTGTGAGTTTGGTAGTTGATTAAATGTCCTTTGACCAGTAGCTGGCCACTTGGAGTGCTTCTGGTGTTGCTGCAAGAAGGTCCTCCATGGTGCATGTGGCAGGGCTCAGGTTGCATTGCAGCAGGTGGTCAGTGGTTTGCTCCTCTCCACACTCGCATGTCGTGGATTCCACTTTGTAGCCCATTTCTTGAGGTTGGCTCTGCATCTCGTGGTGCTAGAGCGCAGTCTGTTCAGCGCCTTTCAAGTCGCCCAGTCCTCTGTGTGCCCAGGGGGGGAGTCTCTCATTTGGTATCAGCCATTGGTTGAGGTTCTGGGTTTGAGCCTGCCACTTTTGAGCTCTCGCTTCCTGAGGTGTTCCAGCGAGTGTCTCTGTAGATCTTAGGAAGTTATTCCTAGATTTAAGTCGTTGATGTGCTGGCTGGTACCCAAACAGGGGATGAGCTGGAGATGTCTCTGCCTTGGTCCTTTCACTATTGGCTGCTACTTCCCGGCGGATGTTAGATGGTGCAATACCGGCTAAACAGTGTAATTTCTCCAGTGGTGTAGGGCGCAGACACCCCGTGATAATGTGGCATGTCTCATTAAGAGCCACATCCACTGTTTTAGTGTGGTGAGATGTGTTCCACACTGGGCATGCGTACTCAGCATCAGAGTAGCACAGCGCAAGGGCAGATGTCTTCACTGTGTCTGGTTGTGATCCCCAAGTTGTGCCAGTCAGCTTTCGTATGATATTGTTTCTAGCACCCACTTTTTGCTTGATGTTCAGGCAGTTCTTCTTGTAGGTCAGAGCACGATCCAGAGTGACCTAATAAAAATATTTATTAATAATAAAAAGGGAGTCAAACCAACTTTAAAGAAACAAAATCAGAAAACACCACCCCACCCAGATTTAAACACGACTATCAGATGGTTTTGTCTGCTGTATGCTATCATAAGCATCTATAGTCAACAGTCTGACTGCATAATTTTATACTACTTGGGAGTTTCTAATAATTTACAAAAGAAATCAATAGGCCTTTGATTACTGGGAAAATCCCTTATTTGAATGCAGGTACGTAAGTAGCAGAACAGGACAAATTATTTATCATCAGTAATGCTATGGGTTAGGCCATTAAATGGGTTGAAGTTGTTTCAGGTTTTCTGTATCTCACGTTACCATTCATTCCACTTATTTCATCAGCACTAGCTAACTAGAATACACAGGACTGCTACTTTAGCTATGTTTAATGAGGAGGGACACGGAAGTGATCATGTCTTTCACATCGGCCTTTTACCCATTCCAGAGTCAGCTGATGGTTCCATAGAAAAGTCTGCTGACTTGGCAGTAAAACCCCTCAAAAGCTGTCAGCAAGACCACCTGGGTTCATTAACTTTCTGGTGTGGATCATATTTATTGGCTGCCTGCTGCTACAGAGCCATCAAGTCACATGGCCCATTAAAAAGCACCTACTTTCTATGTAAACCAATACACTACACTGATTTATTATTATTATTATTATTATTATTATTATTATTTTCCTTCTCTGGAATCTTTTCTTGAATATTTCATTCTCAATAAAAATAATTTTTAAAAATTAATCTGTCTATGATAACAGCTTAAGAGAGTTGCACCCAGATAATCATACTATCCAGGACAGACAACATTGTCTGAAATATATCCTATATAATGAATAGTGCTAGATCCCAAGTAGGACAGACCTGTGGTTACCATGGGGCCCGTAAAGACCAGAACCATTCTCAGCAGGGCAGCCTCAGACTGAATATTAAAATCTCAAGTCCGAGCTGAGAAAATTTCAGCATAACTCTTGCCTAGGAGTCCATCTACATCAGGCAAAGGCAAACTTCAGCCCTCCAGGTGTTTTGAACTTCAGCTCTTACAATTCCTAACAGCTGGCAAGCTGGCTGGGATTTCTGGGATTTGAAGCCCAAAACACCAGGAGGGCTGAAGTTTGCCCATGCTTGATCTACATTGTAGAATTTGATGCCACTTTAACTACCATGGCTAATGCTATGGAATCCTGGGATTTCTTGTTTGGTGAGGCACCAGCACCATTTTGCAGAAAAGGCTAAAGACCTTGTAGAACACAACCCTATTATTTCATGTAGAACCACAACTCTCATTCTCTGAGGGCCATGTTAGCTTTGTGGTTGTTTTAAAAAAGCCCCCACATTGGCAGTCTTTAGGAGGAGCCTGAAAACGTGGCTGTTCCAGTGTGCCTTCCCTGAATAAAGAAACAATCTCCTGCAAAATACCCTGAAAAGAACTTTAATTACCCGTAGAGTTGCTCTCTACTCTTGGTTTAAAACCCTCCTACTAGATACATCCTTTGTTCATGTCCAGCATTTACTTTTAAATTTTTAACTATTACATCTGGTCCAGCCATAGGTTTTTAACTTCTTCTGTGTTATTGTCCGTGTCTGAGTTATACTAATTGTATTGTTTATTTTGCTTATTGCTTGTTGTTTTTACTATTGCTTGTTGTTTTATCATGTGTTGTTGGGCTTGGCCTCATGTAAGCCGCTCTGAGTCCCTTGGGGAGATGGTGGTGGGGTATAAATAAAGTATTATTATTATTATTATTATTATTAATATTATATTATGGAGCCCCCGGTGGATGGAGCCCCCGGTGGCGCAGTGGGTTAAACCCCTGTGCCGACAGGTCTCAGGTTCGAATCCGGGGAGAGGCGGATGAGCTCCCTCTATCAGCTCCAGCTCCTCATGCGGGGACATGAGAGAAGCCTCCCACAAGGATGGTAAAACATCAAAACATCCGGCGTCCCCTGGGCAACGTCCTTGCAGACGGCCAATTCTCTCACACCAGAAGCGACTTGCAGTTTCTCAAGTCGCTCCTGACACAACAAAAATTAAAATTATTATTATTATTATTATTATTATTATTATTATTATTATTATTATTTGTAATTGCAAGACTGTATAAATGTGACTTACGTTGCCCTGGCATTGAAATCCTTGCAGGCTACATAAAATGACATGGCTGACTGGATTTGGCTTGCAGGCCTTGAGTTGACATGTGTGATCTAACATTCCAGTTTCCTCTTTTAGGAATACTTTGATTCACTGAAATATCTTTAAGAATGTAAGATGAGGCATCTTATAAATGCTTAGAGAAATATAGTATTTCAATTACTGTGCAGGTATGTTCGGAGGTCAACTGTACCTTCAGTCTTCAGTCAGAATTTCTGATAAATTTCCAACCAACCCTAAGGCGTTGGAGTCCAGGAATGACAATGCAGTCACCCCTTTGCCTGTAATCAAGTGGAAGCCCTTGATTCGTAAGTAATTGTTTCCCGAATTCTATTTTTCCCACACTGGAAGAGAAAAATAATAATAGAAAATGCATTATTTTTCTTTCTATAGATCACTGTTTTGCTACTGGAAATTTATACCATATTGATCTTTATACAAAAGTCAAAAGTAACACATTCCTCTTCACCATCAATAAATTGGTAGGGATAAAACTAACAAACCGCACACACACATTGATACATTTGGCCCTTCACATTTGCAGATTTGACTTTTGTGTATTTAATTATTCATGGATGTGTTTAAAAATGTTCTCTCTAGGAAACTCTAGGTCTTCCACAGTGATTTGATGCTCATGCCAGAAGCTGATAACACTGGCCAGCACATTTGGTGTCTCAAAAGTTTGACCCATTTCTGGGTATTTAACCTGCTGATTCCAAAAATGGTACCAGTTTCCCCCTATGAGCTCTAATTTTTTGAGAGCATATGGCATCTACCATAGAAAATCATGACAACCATATCTAAGAGCTGTTGTGGTCTACCCAATGCAATTTTTAAAAATCAGAGTCCCTAAGAACCCTGGGAACAGGCCTAAAAACCAAGACACCAATGTTTCTTTGGGTTGGGCTTCATAATAGATACTCATGCTGGAGGATCTAGTAATTCTTAGAGATAACACCTCTCTAAGAGTCTAGAAACTCCGGCAGGCCCATTGAAAGTTGACCATAGAGTCATTCTAGAGAAATGAAATATTCTTTGAATTCTTAGAAGTTAAAAAAACCCAACAATTTTATTATTTGCAGTTTTTCACTTTTGCATTAATCCCATTCCCCTAACCCCACCAAATGTGGAGGGACCACTGTTGTTCTAAATATTTCATCTTGGAAAACTTTTTTTTTCTAGACTCTCCTTCTAGAACTCCCGTGATAGTGGGATCTGATGAATTTGACAAATGCCTCAGTAATGACAAATATTCTCATGAAGAATACAGTAATGGTGCCCTTTCAGTTTTGCAGTATCCTTATGGTAAGTGTTAATGATGCTTTGGCTTTAGTGGTTATTTGAACAGATCACACATGCACACACAGCTAGGGATTTCCCAATTTTTTTAAAAAAAAAACAAATATAGGTATAAGTCATTGAATACCTGATTAGTTTAATAATCAATTAATTCTATGGAATCATAACTATACATTTTTTTACAATTTTTTATTGTTTGAACTTTACAATATCTTGCTTACACTTTGTTTCTACCGGTGCTCATATTTATACGCGCTCCGTTTCCATATAATAAAATTAATATTAACAACAACAACAACAACACTTTATTTATATTCCGCTACCATCTCCCCAAGGGACTCGGTGCGCCTTACATGAGGTCGAACCCAAATACAACAATACAAGCAATAATAACAACAATACAAGCAATTAAAATAAAAACATGGACAATAGAATAACGCAAACATTAACAATAAAACCACATGATTAAAACTGTGGGAAGGCCAAATGTAAAATTAAAATTGGAAGTAATGCTTTTATCTGTACCCTCTCTTTTTATACATCCTTCTCTTTTAAAAAAGGGAAAAAATAGGGGAAATGGGGCAGGGAGAGAGATAGGTGATCTCTGGATTATCCCATTCTAGTCACAATGTATTCTAATACCATATGCCTCACCCTCTAGACCTCTCTTTAGTAACTCTTTTTTCATATTACAACATCAACAAAAAATTTAATTTATTCTTCAAAACTCAGAATTGGCAAACCCTTCTCTTCTTCATACAAAAAGTGAATAAAAGGTTTCCAGTCTTTAAAAAAAGTTTTCAGTGTCCCTTCTTTTAGTAGACATGGGAATCCTAACTAGATTTTGAAGTGGCTGTCTTTTGAATATTGGAAGTGTAGGTCTGCTCTAAAGATAACTTGGATTAAAAAAATCACTATGGATCGTTCCTACAGAGCTGCCCTATCTTATATGACAAACATAGTATTATTGAAGGCTTTCATGGCCGGAATCACTGGGTTTTGTTGTAGTTTTTTTCGAGCTGTATGGCCATATTCTAGAAGCATTCTCTCCTGCCGTTTCACCTGTATCTTTGGCAAGCATCCTCAGAGATTGTCAGGTCTGTTGGAAACTAGGAAATTGGGTTTATATATCTGGAAAGTCCAGGGTGGGGGAAAGAACTCTTGTCTGTAGGAGTTAGGTGTGGATGTTTCCATTGGTTACCTTGATTAGCATTTGATCGCCTGACAGTTTTTAGGTGTGGCTTGTTCCTGCCTGAGGGAATCCTTTGTTGAGAGGTGATTAGCTGTTCCTGATTGTTTCATGTCAAGTTCCTGTGTTTGAGTTTTGTTCTTTATTTACTGTTATAATTTTAGAGTTTCTTTAATACTGGTAGCCAGATCTTGTTAATTTTCATGGTGTCTTCCTTTCTGTTGAAAAAGTCCACATGCTTGTAGATTTCAACGGCTTCTCTGTGTAGCCTGACATGGTAGTTGTTAGAGTGGTCCAGCATTGCTGTGTTCTCAAATAATATGCTACGTCCAGGTTGTTCATCAAGTGCTCTGCTATGGCTGACTTCTCTGGTTGAAGTAGTCTCCAGTGCCTTTAATGTTGCTTGATTTGTGTTTGGATGCTTCGTTTGGTGGTCCCTATGTAGACTTGTCCACAGCTGCATGGTATACGATAGACTCCTGAAGACGTGAGAGGATCCCTCTTGTCCTTTGCTGAACGTAGCATTTGTTAGACTTTCTTAGTGGGTCTGTAGATAGTTTGTAGGTTGTGTTTCCTCATCAGCTTCCCTAGGTGGTCAGTGGTTCCCTTGATGTATGGCAAGAACACTTCTCCTCTGGGTGGATCTTTGTCTTTAGAAACATACAACAACCCAAACATAGTATTGAAAAGGGGGCTATTGAAATCCCTTTCTGGGATGATGTATAAGTCTGTTCATGAAGAGGAAGAAATAAAAAGTTTCACTGAACCTTTAGGAAAAAACTAAAATCGTGGTTTTGGAACCAGGCTAGTGGGCACAGCGGCACTTTGGACATTGAACTGGACCATACAATTGTTGTGATAATTGGAAACGGCTATGTGACTATATAATTAATGTTTACTGTTTTTAATTTATTGTGTATTTATGATTTTTATAGTGATGTTTTATTGATATTGTGGCATCGAATTGTTGCCAGTGTTAGCTGCTGAGCCCGCCCCCCCCCCCCCCCCCGGGAGGTTGAGAAGGGCGGGGTAGAAATGTTGTAAATAAATAAATAAATAAATAAACATTTCAAAAGCTGGATGAGTCCTTTGAATTCCTGTCTATATATTGCTGTTCTGCCATTTAGCAAGTTCAGGTGGGAAAACTTAATTTTAAATAAATTAAATCTTTATAGTTTGTATATTTAAAAACACCCTTGTGAAATCATTACTGTTTTTTGAAATCATAGATAATGGCTATTTCTTGCCATACTATTCACGAGAGAGGAACAGACGGAGCACTCAGATCACAGTCCGGTTTTCTGAGAGCATGAGCTATAAGAATATCCGTAAAAAAGATCCTGTTCTGCTACTTCACTGGTGGAAAGAAATTGTTAGCACCATCATATTCTGCATTGTGGCTACTACATTTGTTGTTCGCAAACTATTCCATCCCAATGCTTGCTACCGAGTAAGTAGAATGGTATTAGATTAAGTGTGGTTATTCTCTTGGCAGGTTTTTGTTTCTGGTTATGATATAGAAGAAACTTTATTGTAACTAATGTGTTCTTATCCATCAGCAGCGAAAGGAGTCAGAAACCCAGTGTCAGACGGACACGAAATACGAAACTTGCGCTGGACAGGCTAAAGATAACACCTGGCCTGACATTAAGAACTCTGGATATGTGTCAAGGTAAAAGCAAACATCCAGGTTGGCAAGATGCATATAGTCCAGTAGCTTTAAGAAGGAGGAGGGGATACTATTTGACCAGAATTAGTCCTGGTTAAAATATTGTTTGCATAAAAGTTCCCAGTCTGCAAAATGTTTTACTGGCTTTGCTAAGAAGATAATCATCTGCATCTTCATGCTTACCATGGAAAAGAGATGCTTCTTTGATCAGCATGTTCAGTCAACTTAACTGAATTCCAGGTCACTTGGACCTACCAGGGGAATTAATGAGTATGAACGAACAATGAATGTTTCTGAACGGATTGTCCAATTGTGATTATGTGTGATTTCTTGCAGATATCTAACAGATTTTGAACCAATTCAGTGCTTGGGACGTGGAGGATTTGGAGTAGTATTTGAAGCCAGAAACAAAGTTGATGATTGTAATTATGCTATTAAAAGAATACGTTTACCAAACAGGTTAATATCTTTTTAGTTGCACTCACGCAAGTATGCTGTTACACAAGTATGCTGTTTTTCCCTTAGTGGTTGTCATGTTTTGGTTTTATTCTCACGTTGTCGAGTACAGAGCATCTTAAACATTTTCCACTCATGACTCTTTTCCACCTGATAAATTTTTATGTGCCCCCAGGTTTATCTGTATAAATAAAAATGTAATGTTCGTTTGTGGGATTGACAGAACTCTAAAACCACTGGGGGAATTGACACCAAATTTGGACACAAGACACCTAACAACCCAATGTATGTCCTTCACTCAAAAAAATTGATTTTGTCATTTGGGAGTTGTAGTTGCTGGGATTTAAAGTTCATCTACAATCAAAGAGCATTCTGAACCCCACCAACGATGGAATTGAACCAAACTTGGCACACAGGTCTCCCACGACCAACTGAAAATACTGGAAGGGTTTGGTGGGCAGTGTCCTTTGGTTTTGGAGTTGTAGTTCGCCAACATCCAGAGAGCACCATGGACTCAAACAATGATGGATCTGGACCAAACTCGACACAAATACTCAATATGCCCAAATGTGAACACCGGTGGAGTATGGGGAAAATAGAATCTTGACATTTGGGAGTTGTAGCTTCTGGGATTTATAATTCCCCTAAATCACAGAGCATTCTGAACCCCACCAACGATAGAATTGGGCCAAACCTCCCACACGACCCCCCATGTGGGCCACAGCAACGTGTGGAAGGGGACGACTAGTAGGTATATAAAAACCATGAGTACAAAAACAAAGCATTTACTGATAATAAATCAGCATTTGCAAGAGTTGCTATAAACAGGTTGATTTTCTCTTTTGTGGAGTATAGCTGAACCATTTTTTGCAGAGACCACTGTAAACACTGCATGCTGCTAACTGAGTTGTCTAAATGGGTGGCATTGAGAAATCTTTTATTGTTGCCAATTCTTTCGTGACCCCAACGTTGAGCTAAAGGGACCCACAGTTTAAGAAAGAATGGCCTAGTAAATCAAAGTGATGTTCAAATTTGTAAAATCATCAGCTATAATAAAGAGTTAAACTTCCTAACATTAATATTTCTGGGTGCATACTTAAGCCCCTTCAACACTGCCATATATCCAGATTATCAAAGCAGATAATCCACATTACCTGCTTTGATCAGGATTATATAAATCTACACTGCCATATAACCCAGTTCAAAGCAGTTAAACTGGTTTTTATATGAGTAGGTATGCAACCTCACACTATTGCTTAGCCTCAATTTCTGTCATTGGAGTCCCCCCCCCCCCCCCCCCCCCCCGCTTTTGTGGGAAAGCTTGAATCCACAACCTCCACTATAATGATCTCCCCTCCACAAATAACTTACTTCTCCTTTATCTCACTTGAGTTTTAATTAGTTTTTGTCTTTTAAACATTACATGTAGCTCACCCTTGTCACTGTGATGTGTGTATTGTAATTTTGTATCGTTATGTTTTCACATGTTTTATGTAATTATGATGTTATTTTTTATTGTCTGCGTTTTCGGTTTGCGTTTTCGGTTTTATTCTGTTGTAATCTGTGTTTGGGCTTGGCCTCATGTAAGCCGCCCCGAGTCCCCATTGGGGAGATGGTGGCAGGGTAAAAATAAAATTTATTTATTTATATTATCATCATCATCATTATTATTCTTATTCTTCTTATTATTATTATTATAAGGGGCCTTAGATGTTCTGCATATGCAGGGAGTGGAGGGGGAATTTTCTTTTTTCCTACCAGTAGTTGTCCCAAATGGGATTCTTTTGCCTTCAGAAGAAGAATATATGTGTGTGACAGAGGGATTATGTTAACATTTGTGATCATAAATAATGGTTTGGTCCCCTGGCTTGTCAAATGACAATATTTGTGGCTGGCAGTGTTTTTTTTCAACAAGTTCATATGAATTATTCCTAGGATGTTTGCATTTGGATCCTTTACAAAGTGAAATGACCATGCCAGGAAATAATCGCTCCAGCTTAATCACAACAAAATGTTGTCTTGACTTACAATTTTACTTTCTAAAATTTTAGGGATCAGGCTCGTGAGAAAGTGATGCGTGAAGTTAAGGCCTTGGCAAAACTTGAACATCCTTGTATTGTTCGTTATTTCAATGCTTGGCTAGAAGCACCGCCTGAGAGCTGGCAAGAAAGAATGGACAAACAGTGGCTAAAAGATGAAAGGTATTTGGTTCTTGGAAAATACATTTCTTTACAAAAGACATTGTAAATATTATATTATGTTCTAGAAAGCACAGGACAGAATTTGGCATTTTGATTTCTAGTATGTATATTAACTGTTTTTTTGTTTTATGATTGGTTATGAGGATTTATTTACTGGATTGAGTCTGCAGTAGCAATTGAAACAAAGTGTGGATAATCCTAGACCTTACTGTGTATTCAGACTTCTTTTGTTTTCATGGTTTCTATGCAGACACACATTGGGCCTATATCTCTGTATAACCATCTGCACAGGAACAGTGTCTTAGACACATGCTTCAAAAACCACAAAAACATTAGACACAAAATTAAACCTTAGACACAAAATTAAACATTAGACACAAATTAAAACTGTCAGCTTTAGAAAAAAAAAATAGATTGTCTTCTCTAGCAGACATAAAATCCTCATTCCCATAAAAAGAATTCAAAAAAAGGAAACCAAAATAAAAAGATACCATGATGTAAGATACTATACATAGTTTTTCATTAATGTCTACTTGCTACATAGGTGCTCAATAGGAGACATCTTAGTCACAGATAACCATGGACAGAAAAACAAATTCCAGCACAAAACTAACCCAAAATGTTTCTAATGTCCTCAGTGGGCTGCCATGGTTGATAACAGTATGTAACAAAATTTGAAAACTTTTTTGTTCCTGGTTTGAAAGTGTTATTCCTATTTAATTGTATGGTACTTACTTCAAAAGTAGTTGTTACACTCCAGAAACTTCATTTTTGTGGTTGCCACAAACTGTTGAATTGGATGAGGCACTATGACATATTCATTGATAAACTATAGCAAAAATGTGCTCCAGGATGTCCCATGAAAACAGTTTAATAAACATTTTCCATGTTATTATGATAAAAACAATTAGGAAATAACAACCCAAAAACAAGAACCGTGTTACATAATGTAATATTGGAGGAGTCAATATATAACAAACTCCATGTTTGAAATATTGTTTCGAACATACAAAAGAAAACATTCCATAATTTTTCATTTTTTACACACACACACACCAATTTCAGAAGAAACATTTTAGTCTGATTTTTTGTCTGGGCCTTCACATCGCTGGTTCTCTGACGTTAAGGTTCTTTCTAGTAACTACTGGGTAATCTTCACAATTGTACTTGTAAATGGACCTTATAATTCCCATTTGACATTTCACAAATACCATTCCTAATTCTAACATTCAGTTACTGTATATAAAGATTTGACAGCTGGGACTGAGTACCTCATCAGGTATCCGTTTTCAAAGTATAAAATATATTACATTTAGTTTTAATTGGATTAAGACAGTTTTATTATTATGCTTTTTATTAAGAGATTTATACATAGAGTAAAACTAATGTTTGAAAAGAGTACAATGAAAGTGGGGGAACAATTAATTAAAGATGAAAGAAAGTTTGAAACTTGATCGAAAAGAAAAAAAGGGGGGGGGGGAAGGTAAAACAAGAGTGTTTTCCCTGTAAGTTGCTTCCAAATTCTGTTTGCCAAGGTCCTAATTTATGTCTGAAGATTTTTTTTTGTTCGCGTGGCATTGTTTTCTTATTTTCCCTTCTGTTCTTTAAGTTTCTTTTAATTTTCCTTTATATAAAGTCCTCTGTATTTATTTATTAAGAATTCCATAAACTGTCCCCAATCTGTTTCCTGGTAGTGGATGTTGTTCTGAGCAAGTTTTTGGGTGAGAAGGTCCATATTCATAATGTCTATCACTTTCAAAATCCAATTTTCTTTTGTGGGTATTCTTGGTGTTTTCCATAATTGTGCCAGAGTTATTCTGGCTGCAGTTATGAAATAAAAGAAAACCTTGTTTGTGTTTTTATTCATTTCAAAATCTGTGATCCCTAATAAAAAAATACTCAGGCCTAAAATCAAATCTCAAATGCAGAATGTTTTCTGTTTCGTTGTAGATTTGATGCCAGTACTTTTTAACTTGTTTGCATCTCCACCACATGTGACTAATCACATGACTAGTCACATGTGGTGGATTAAGACAGTTTTAAAGTAATATTACCCATGCCTGGGTACATCAAGCAAACAAAATGGAATTTGGAGATTGATACAGTGTTTTTTCTGGCCATTTCATGACACCACATCTTGGAAAGCCTCAACATATTTCTGTGATAATCCTTATATATGGATATATTTTGAAATTAGGGGAAATAATGGGGAAGGAAAGTACTTCATAATAAAAATTGATGATTATGTTTACCTTATTTAACTGTGGATTTTACAGAAGAAAACACAAAATTATGCTTCTTTTGCTCTTAAGTCAGTAAACAAAAGTTTGTAATTTCAAAAAACTTCCCCCCTCTTTTCTTTTTTAAAGTATTGACTGGGCAATCAGTTCTCCGAGTCCAGCGGAAGCACCATCATTTAAAATTAGAACTGAGCCCTTTTCTTCAAAGGAACAGATTGAAGTGACTACTACACCTGGAGAAAGGAGGACCTTGCTCTCTGTTGGGATATCTTGTGGCCAATCTCATTCATCAGAGAGCCAGTTTTTCCCTCTGGAGTCCTCTTCTGTTGATAACAGAGACTTGAGCCAAATGGCAGAACCTGTGTCGAACATTAGGGATAGCCTTCTCTCCGATCGTGATATAGAAGGTAGCTGTTCCTTTGAACTTTGTCCTCCAGCTAAGCCAGGAGTAAGGATGAGGGAGAGGACCTCTTCATCAATTGTTTTTGAAGACTCTGGCTGTGACAATGCTTCTAGTAAAAAAGATAGCCACTCTGGAGATAAAGGAACAAGCACAAAAGGATCTAATAGTAGAATGTCCTCCTCAGCAAGTCCTTTGTCTGTATCTCCACCAAGACCGACAACCTTGAGTTTGGACCTCTCTAAGAACTCTGTACCAAAAGCCATGCCTACCACACCAAAAGTGTACCTTTACATCCAGATGCAACTCTGTAGGAAGGAAAACCTCAAAGACTGGATGAATGCACGATGTATCATGGAGGAGAGGGAAAGGACAGAATGCCTGCTGATATTCTTACAGATAGCAGAAGCTGTTCAGTTCTTACATAGCAAAGGATTAATGCATCGGGACCTTAAGGTTTGTATTGAAAACAACAGTATGACAATATGTTTTTAACCTCAGTAGAAGCTGTTAAGTTTTGTGTATGTGAAAACCCTGTGCTTTCCTCAGTAGGAATCATTGCTATTGATCTTGAAGTCTAGTTGTCATAAAAATACAGATGGAAGGCATGAGGGATGTCGGGCGTCTCATATGCAAGTTTGGAGCAGATGATCCAAAGTATGAGCTGGCAATTATAACAAAATACTCCCATTCTAATTTATTACTCTAATTAAAACTTGTGTGCCACCTGCGGCCGTACCTTGGGAAGTCTGACTTGGCCATGGTAGTCCATCCTTTTGCTACATCCTGAATAGATTGCTGCAATGCACTCTACGTGGGGTTGCCACTGAAGACTKCTTGGAAGCTTCAACTAGGTCAACTAGTTTCAACTTCAACTAGTGAGCAGCCAGGTTGCTCACCGGAGCGGGGTACAGGGAGCMCCCCCCCCCCCCCCGTTAAACCAGCTCCACTGGCTGCCAGTCTGCTTCCAAGCACAATTCAAAGTTCTGGCTTTAGCCTATAAAGTTCTAAACCAGGCATCTTCAAACTGCAGCCCTCCAACCGTTTGGCCCTCCWACTCCCAGAAGCCCTAACGAGCTTGTTTAATTGTCAGGAATTCTGGGAGTTGAAGGCCCAAACAGATGGAGGGCTGCAGTTTGAGGATGCCTGCTCTAAACGGTTCCAGCCCAGTATACTTGTCTGAATATATCTCCCTCTACAAACAATAAAGGAGGGTAAGATAATCTGGGGAGGCCCTAATCTTGGTCCCACCACCTTCGCAAGTACGACTGTTGGGGATGAGAGACAGGGCCTTCTCAGTGGTGACCCCTCGGCTGAGTAACTCCCTCCCCAATGATATCAGGTCTGCCCCCTTTGTCCTATCCTTTCGTAAAAAAACTCAAAACTTGTATGTTAGATCAAGCATTTGAGCAATAGAGGCAGCAATTAGAATGAGTGTGATTTTATGTGACCAACAATGAATTGTTTTTGGACCATGATTTTGAACTGGTGAAACTTTTAAATGTATATTTATAATGGTTTTAATTGATGTTTTAACTGTAACTGTTTATTTTATAATTTTGTATTTGGCATCTAATGGTTGCCTGTTGTGAAGCCCCCTGAGTCCCCCTCCGAGGGTGAGAAGGATGGTGTACAAATGCTCGAAATAAATAAATACTGGGTTGTTGTAGGTTTTTTCGGGCTATATGGCCATGCTCTAGAACATGACCATATAGCCCGAAAAAACCTACAACAACCCAGTGATTCCGGCCATGAAAGCCTTCGACCATATATTAAATAAATACTCTTTCTCATGGAATTTCACCTCTTTGGGTTGTAAAGGGAGCCATGCTTTTTATACAACTTTGAGAAGAAATGATGGAATCCTAGGTTGTATTGATACAGTATACGCTATTTTACAACTCTTCTAGTGTAGTTGACTATCACATTGATTGTTAAAATCCCGAAATGGTTAAAATTTCCATTCTCACTGCTCTTCATTGTCCAAGGAAAGCATGCTCTTCTACAACAAACTGGAGTATGTATAGCAAAATTTGCATTAGGACAATCTGATGTAAGAGGAAGCATTCTAAATAGAACGTAGTTGCACTTTTTATTGGAATCTATAAATTTTAGACTAGTTCATATGAGTGTGATGAGAATATTCTAAGGCCAATTGTATTCTAGGGTACGCAATTTCCTCCTGAGTAAGACTCACTTGGCTGCCTATTTGTTATCTTTCCACCGATTGGTAGAGACCTTCTTACCATATTTACGTGAATCTGAAGCACACTTTTTTTTTGGGCTACATTACATCACCAAAATTGAGGTGCACATTAGATTTGATAGCATGTTCGAATTGTGCACATAAACCCACCTCCACTGTTGGGCAAGAGATCCCGGTTGGGGACAGAGTAGGGAGAGATGCAGCAGCTGTGAAAATATTAGTTTCTCCTTGTCCTCTTAAAGTATAAATATTATGTATCGGGGGGGGGGGGGTGTTAAGGAGGGGAAAAAGCACACTCCAAGGGTATGGTTGCAGTTGTGCGCACTTCACAGCAGATGTGATTGGGCCAGTTTGGCATAGTAGGAGCTATAGCCACTGTAGACAAGTCTCATTCAGGAGAGGGAGTGTCACTACCACTATGGAACATCCTGCTTTCTGTTACTATCATTGTGCAGCCTGTTCATTATGCTAGTGAAGTCCTACTTCTACTTTTCTGTTCCTTTTGTTTGGGCAGGTTTGGAATATGCAAACTAACAACAACAACAACAACAACATAATAATAATAATAATCTTTATTTGATACCCCGCCACCATCTCCCCAATGGGAACTCGGGGCGCCTTACATGAGGCCAAGCCCAACAACATATTACAATAAAGTAAAACCAAAACACAATAACAACACAGTAAAATACATACAACATATGAGTACAAAAAACGATAAAGCAAAATCATACACAATGAAATAACAACAATGAGTGGGCTGCATGTGCAAGATAAAAACTAAGATACTAAAAATACTAAAATCAGGATGAGATAGGGATGGAGCAGATTGTTTGTGGGTGAGAAACTCATAAAGGAACGGGGTCATAAATATAGGCCTTCATACAGATGGGGAAATATATTGACCTTCAAGTTGCATTCATATATTTTACATTTTGGGGGAAAAGGAAGTAGGAACTTCTTTCTTGAAGAATGATAGAACTTCACAAATGGGGAAAAGTCAATGAACTGACTAGACATAGGAAATGTGGATAATATATTGTCTGTGCTAATTTCTTTGTGTATTCACTTTTTAATATTTCTAGCCTTCCAACATATTTTTCACAATGGATGATATAGTAAAAGTTGGGGATTTTGGACTAGTGACTGCAATGGACCAAGATGAGGAGGAGGAATCTGTTCTAACACCAATGCCAGCTTATGACAGGCACACTGGGCAAGTTGGAACCAAGCTCTACATGAGCCCAGAACAGGTATGTTCTCTGCCTCACTCTTAATCAACAGAGCTCTCATAAATGTCTACTTCGAAGTGCAGGTGCTGCTGTCTTTTTTAGTTATGAATACGACCTATCAGCCTTTTTGAATCTTACAAAATCTTTGTGGTATGATTGTATTTGAACAACATAGTCTTGAATCCTTGTTGATTCGTCCCACTAAAGTGGACCTACTGAATTACGTATTGAATACTGAGTCAGTGCATAGATAAAATCCCATTGAAAGTCTGTTTTAAATGAATCTAATAAGGTCCATACCAACGTCTGAAGAACATGTGGTTATTACAATATGTGATCAGTGCTGTTAGAAGAAAGGCAGGATAGTAAATAAATAATATGGAACATTATTTTAGTCAGTCAAAAGGCTGAACAGGGGATAGGGTTACAGCCTGTGTTAGACAGGGTTACACTCCCCCTGAAGACCCAGGTTTGAAGTTTGGGAGTGATCCTGGACTCATTGCTGAGTCTGAAACCCCAGGTCTCGGCGGTGGCCAGGAGAGCATTTGCACAATTAAAACTTGTGCGCCAGCTGCGCCCGTTCCTTGAGAAGTCTGACTTGGCCACGGTGGTCCACGCTCTTGTTATATCCTGAATAGACTACACACTCTACGTGGGGATGCCTTTGAAGTCTACCCGGAAACTTCAACAAGTGCAACGGTTGGTAGCCAGATTGATCACCGGAGCGACGTACAGGGAACATACAACTCCTTTGTTGCGCCAACTCCACTGGCTACCGATCAGCTCCCAAGCACAATTCAAAGTGCTGGTTTTAATAATAATAATAATAATAATAATAATAATACACTTTATTTATTACCTGCTACCATCTCCCCAAAGGGGACTTGGTGTGGCTAACATCACACCAAAATAATACAACGTAATAAACACACAATAACAAAATACATCATAACAAAATATAAAGTAAACGAAATCAACAATATAACCTTTAAGGCCCTAAACAGTTCTGGCCCAGACTACCTGTCCCAACGTATCTCATCCCACGAACCATCACGAAGTTTAAGATCTTCTGGAGAGGCCCTGCTCTCGATCCCACCATTATCGCAAACGCGGTTGGTGGGGACGAGAGTCAGGGCCTTCTCGGCAGTGGCCCCCCCGTCTGGAATTCTCTCCCCAGGGACATCAGGTTGGCCACCTCCCTCCTGTCCTTTAGAAGACAAGTGAAAACTTGGCTCTGGGACCAGGCATTTGAGTAATCGGATAGCGGCAATTGGAAAAAAGGCAGGATATTTACGACACTAAATCTGCCTAGACTTGGATTTGGGTTTACCGACATGTATAATCTACTATATAATGAATTGTATAATGTGTGTTATTGATTTTTAATGTTTTAATGATTTTAGTTCTTTAATTGTACTTCGAATTGTTTACTTGTTGATAGTATCATATGGTGCTTGTGTGAGGCCGCCCTGAGTCCCCCTTCGAGGGGAGAAGGGCGTGGTAAAAGTGCACGAAATAAATAAATAATGTGCCAGCCAAATGACTTAGTACTTTTCCAGAATACTCCATTTCTCTCGCACTTCTTATATACTGATGTGTGACTCAAAGACTCTGTGGCTGTTGAACATATTTAGTCTTCGATGTGTTGGCTTGGTTGGGTATTTTATGAACAGAGAGAGCTTAAGGATTGTTTTCCCAAAAGTATTCTATATTCTTGAACAGTGGCCTTACCTTGGCTCCAGTGCATCAGCGCTCCCTCCTGAAATTATTTAATTCAGTTGTAGCCAGTAGGCCACCAAATCATGGAAATTTAGCTTGATATTAGGAGTGTTTGACTTCAGAACAGTGGGGAATGGAAGGTGCGTAGGCTACCCGCACCAATTTTTTAAATTGAAAAACCTCTTGAGCCCTCTAGTGGCAATTTTGCTACATTTATTTCCCATCCACTGTCTTGAAGCCAGTCTGTAAAGGGGAGCAGAAGACCTTTTCAAAAGAATAAGTAGCTTCATTTGACTGCTGGTTGGGGGGTAAGTTCCCTCTTGAGTCTAAATCAAGTTGGCAAAATGGACACCCTCTGCCTCACTAATCACAAGGACTCTTTCCCAGGAAACAAGGGAAGACATAGAAAGAGTGATGTTGCTGGCATTTAATGAAGTTGTCATATCAGCAAATATATTCACCACTCCCCTGATTATTGGACTAGTTGAAATGCCAAGAGGAAGATAGGTTGGATGGAAGTTTGGAAGGAATTTAGCCTATCTTCATTTTGTCACATGATTATTTATTTATTTCGCGCATTTCTACCCTTCTCAACCCCCGAGGGGGGCACTCAGGGCGGCTTACAAAAGGCACAATTCGATGCCAACACAAACAATAAGATAAAACATATATCAACAGCAATTATAAAAAAAATAAAACAATCAATTATACATCACAATAAATAAAACCAGTCTAATGCTCAACATTCGCCAGCTCAGAATCCGTAAATTCATTCCACATTGTCAAACCCTATCAATTCTAGTCGTCATTGTCCTTTGTCTATCTGCCAGATTACCCAAAGGCCTGGTCCCATATCCGTGTTTTTAGTTTCCTTCTAAAAGAGAGGAGGGATGTCGATGACCTAATTTCCCCGGGAAGTGAATTCCACAGGCGAGGGGCCACCACCGAGAAGGCCCTGCTCCTCGTCCCCACCAATCTCACTTGTGATAGWGGTGGGGYCGAGAGCAGGGCCTCCCCAGAAGATCTTAAACTCYGAGGCGGGACGTAGAAGGAGATGCGTTCGGACAGATACGCTGGGCCGGAACCGTAYAGGGTTTTGTAGGTCAAAACCAGCACTTTGAATTGTGCTCAGAACTGGATCGGCAGCCAGTGGAGCGGACATAACAGAGGGGTGGTATGCTCCCTGTATGACGCTCCGGTGAGTAATCTGGCTGCCGCCCGCTGGACTAATTGAAGWYTCCGAWCAGACTTCATAGGCAACCCCACGTAGAGTGCGTTGCAGTAATCTATTCGGGATGTAACGAGCGTGGATCACTGTGGCCAGATCACTGTGGCCATGATGTGTCACATACTTGATTTTAAGGGGGTAAACATTTGAGTTAGAGCCTTGAGTGCATTGTGTATTTAGAACATTCAGTACCCTTCTTAAGTAATGGATATTTAGATGTAAGGGCTTGCATGCTTACCTTATTTCATTTTTTATGAAATTCATGTTTCAAGCAATTTACTTTGTATTTATTACTAAGTTTCAGAGACTACTATCGGAAACACTTAAAATGTTTATTTTTTTCAATCTTAATTCATACAAGGCTCTCTCTAGTCCTGTATGTGATGGTTTTGATCACAGATAAGAATAGAAAGAATGTGATTTACTTAATTTCTAAACCTTGTTTTATTGCTGATTTTTATCTTGAATTTTCCAGGTCCACGGAAATGTTTACTCACACAAAGTGGATATCTTCTCTCTGGGTCTGATTTTGTTCGAGCTCCTTTATCCTTTCAGCACGCAAATGGAGAGAGTCAGGGTAGGTGTACTTTTCTAAGCTCTACTTTTGCCACTTAAAGAAATAAATATAATCTAGCAACAAAGTACTCCTTTCCATGGTAATGAAATTGTGTGTTTCTGTGAGGCAAGTGGGTCTGCTGACTATAGTAATGCTTCTGTTAGGGTCTCTCATGTCAGATAGAGAGTCAGATTAAATGTGCCAAACATCTACTTGGACAGCAGGTGAAAAGATGGGTGGGCTGACACTTGTGGAGGATCACCGAGAAACAAAGATTAGTGGCATCATTGTTAACACTTGTTACGTACTGGTAAAGCACTCTCACACCAGAAGCAACTTGCAGTTTCTCAAGTCGCTCCTGAAACGACCAAAAGAAAAAAGCACTTGTGAATGTGTTTTGCCTCGAACGCTCTATACTGAGACAATCCAAAATACAGCAAGAAATAGTGCCAAAAATGACATTCCTTAATCAAAAGGCACTCAAGCAACTGCAGCACAATAGGGGATAATTATGAGCAGCACTTTTGGCTAATAATGCAACTGGATTCAATCCAAAATGATATTTAGTTATTGGCATGCACATCCCAAACATATTTTTCAAGCAACCAATGAAGTGACTTTATCCATGGACATTATCTAATGACTAATACAGAAATCAAACAAATCACATATGTAGAAGATGGAAAAGCTCCATTCTTTCTGTAAAATCAAGAACCAGGAGCAGATTGTGGCGCAGACCATAACCTACTGGTATCTAAAATTAGCGTAAAGGTGAAGAAGGCTGAGCGAAAGAAGATAGATGCTTTTGAACTGTGGTGCTGGAGGAAAGTTCTGAGAGTGTCTTGATCAAGGGTCTGGAGAACAAGCCCAAGAGAAGCGGCTTAAAGAGCTGGGCATGTTTAGTCTTCAGAAGAGAAGCCTGAGAGGAGACATGATACCCATGTATAAATATGTGAGGGGAAGTCATAGGAAGGAGGGAGCAAGCTTGTTTTCTGCTGCCCTTCAAACTACAAGAAAGGAGATTCCATCTGAACATTAGGAAGAACTTCCTGACTGTGAGAGCCATTCAGCAGTGGAACTCTCTGCCCCGGAGTGTGATTGAGGCTCCTTCTTTGGAAATTTTTAAACAGGCTGGATGGCCATCTGTCGGGGGTGCTTTGAATGCAATTTTCCTGCTTGTTGGCTGGATGGCCCATGAGGTCTCTTCCAACTCTATGATTCTATGATGAATAAACACAAGAAAACCAAAAGACCTGGGCAGAGCTGTTGACCACTTGGAGGTTTCTCATTCATAGGGTCACCAGCTAAAAACAACAGCCAATAAAATGATAGAGGGATGTATACTGCTGTGGTGCATAAGCAGAAGGTTACAGAATAGTTAGCATACACAGTAGCATAGGTCCTTAGTCCATAAAGCTACTGGAGAAGCTGGAGATGTCATGTATTTTTTTCATGAGTTCAATGAAAAGCATGGCTTAACCCAGTGTTTCTCAACCTGGGGGTCGGGACCCCTGTGGGAGTCGCAAGGGGGTGTCAGAGGGGTTGCCAAAGATCATCAGAAAACACAGTATTTTTTGTTGTTCATGGGAGTTCTGTGTGGGAAGTTTGGCCTAATTCTATGGTTGGTGGGATTCAGAATGCTCTTTGATTGTAGGTGAACTATAAATCCCAACAACTACAACTCCCAAATGTCAAGTCTATTTTCCCCAAACTCCACCAGTGTTCACATTGGGCATACTGAGTATTCGTGCCAAGTTTGATCCAGATCCATCATTGTTTGAGCCCACAGTGCTCTCTGGTTAGGCGAACTACAACTCCAAAACTCAAGGTCAATATCCACCAGACCCTGCCAATATTGGTCATGGGAGTTCTGTGTTCCAAGTTTGGTTCAGTTCCATTGTTGATGGACTTCAGAATGCTCTTTGATTGTAGGTTAATTATAAGTCCCAGCAACTACAACTTCCAAATGACAAAATCAATCGTCCCCAACCCCACCAGTATTCCAATTTGGGCATATGGGGTATTTGTGCCAAATTTGGTCCAGTGAATAAAAATACATCCTGCAGATCAGATATTTACATTACGAATCATAACTGTAGCAAAATTACAGTTATGAAGTAACAGTGACAATAATTTTACGGTTGGGGGTCACCACAACACGAGGAACTGTATTAAGGGGTCGCAGCATTAGGAAGGTTGAGAAACACTAGCTTAACCTATAAAAGGATTGTTGTTGTATAATCATAAGTAATTTCTGACTTACAGTAACCCTAAAAGGGTCGGGGGGGGGGGGGAATCACAGGGTTTTATTGATAAGATTTTCCTTTGCCTTCCTGAGTGTTAGGGAATGTCCAGTGCGTTTCCATGGCTAGGTGGAAATTCAAACCCTGCTCATAGTTGAGCACTGAAACAACTACAAATTGGGTTTTTTAAAATAAAAGAATATTCCCATATAAATCGTAAGCCGTGTTATTATTTGTCATATGCTACCATGGAACACAATTTAGAATGTCAGTGGGGGGGTTGCATGTCAAGACTTGTAGTTTTGTAATGCTTGTGTAGTATAAAGTTAAAAAAAGTATCCATCTAGTCCTTATGTACATGTTGTGAACATTCTTGCCTTCTATCAGAATAGATATTTGTATAGTTATTTTCATTTTTTTTATTTTAAATACTTTTAAAATAAATACATACTGTATTTATAATGCAGTGTGGCAGGATAGACCCTATTATGCAAGGTGTTAAGAAGTTCTGATAGTACCTTTTATTAATGATGTGCCTTTTTAAAAAAAATGGGATAAATAGCAACTAGGGCTAAAAGCGTGGGCAACTCATACAGTAAATGTTATGTAGTTTGTAGAAGAAACTGAACCTTTTTGTTAATGATGAGCTTGCAAAGTATTTTATATAGTGTGGAAAAAGTAAGTTCAGTCTTGGCATATGAAGTACAGTTAGGCCTTGTTGAGCATATTGTTTCAAATGGCAATAAAAAGTCCTTCTTAAAATGTTGTTACAGACATTGAGTGAAGTAAGGCATTTGACGTTTCCTGATCTGTTCATTGAGAAGTATCCAGAGGAAGTAAGTACACATTTAAATTCCTTGTCTATATTTGTGTGTTAGTCTTGGGCTTTTCTTGACTGTCTTTTCGTTTACAAGACTGCTTAAATTCACATTTCCATTTCATAACTTTAAATTGCCAGTGAGTTAGTGAGTGATTGCTAAATTGTATAGAAAAAAAAAGATGATGATTTTATTTGGAGGCTACATTTTTTTCATCCTTTAACTCAATTCCTCTTAGAGGAAAAACCATTTGTGCCTCAGTTAATGAAGTCCTAAGTGGCATCTATATCTTATTTATTTCGAACATTTCTACCCCGCCCTTCTCAACCCCCGAAGGGGGATTCGGTCGCTTACAAAAGGCACAATTCGATGCCAGCAACACACATAGTAAGATAAAATATATAGCAGCGACATTTATAAATAGTTAAAACAGTCCAATTATACAATAACAACTAATAAAAGCCAATCCAGTGATCAACGTTCGCCAAGTTCAAAATCCGTAAGTTCATTCCGCATTGTCATAATCCTATCCAACTCTAGTCGTCATTGTCCTTTGTCTGTCTGCCAGATTACCCAAAGGCCTGGTTCCATATCCATGTTTTAGTTTCCTTCTGAAAGAGAGGAGGGATGTCGATGACCTAATTTCCCCGGGGAGCGTATTCCACAGGCGAGGGGCCACCACCGAGAAGGCCCTGCTCCTCGTCCCCACCAGTCTCACTTGTGATAAAGGTGAGGCCGAGAGCAGGGCCTCCCCAGAGGATCTTAAACTCCGAGAGCATCTCCCAATTAGCTCAGCGTTTTTAGCAGCTATCCTAGCAGAACACCGTCTGTTCTCTGTGCTCTGTCTCTTTTCATCTCTCTAGAAATGTGGGCACTTTCAAACCCTCATTGTCTGATTCTTCTCCCTCCAATTCCTGAGCACTTCCCTGCTCCCCTTCCTCCTCCGGAGATTAGGAATCCCTAACACCAAACTTGTATTAATATATTCCAGGGTACATTTAATTTATCCAAAGCAAAACATTTCTAAGGGGTTTTAAAAATTGTTATAGTAAAAGATTTTTAAAAATACTCTTATTCTTCCATAATAGATGTATCCCTCTGAGTAATGCAAAGGGGGAATCCACAAACAATGTATATTCTTCTCATTTCCCAGAAAGAGACAGGGTTCATATGAGCACAGATCTTTCTGCTTTTTAGACTCATATAACTTCAACGTACCTGTCCAAACATATCGCCTTCTACATCCCACCTAGGAGTTTAAGATCTTCTGGAGAGGCCTTGCTCTCGGCCCTGCCCCTGTCACAAACACGGTTGGCAGAAACGAGGGACAGGGCATTCTCGGTGGTGGCTCCCTGCCTGTGGAATTCGCTTCCTGGTGAAATTAGGTCATCTTCATCCCTCTTCTCCTTTAGAAAGAAATTTAAAATATGAATGAGGGACCAGGCCTTTGGGTAATCTTGCAGACTTGACGATGATAATAACGACAATTGCTATGAAAATGGTTTGGACAAGCTTAATGGAGACTACAATTACAGAAATCGACGGGACGACAGCCACTAGACTGGCTCCCTTTTAAAATTGTATTAATGTAATATTTTAACTATTTATAATTATTGATTTTGATGTGTATTTTATTATATGTTACGTGTGGGCATCAAATATGTGCTGGCTGGAAGCCGCTCTGAGTCCCCCTTAGGGGGTTGAGAAAGGCGGGGTACAAATACCCGAAAAAAATAATAAACTTTTTTTCCTTGTGTCTCCCAGAGCTGTCTGTAGGCATTCTTACTCTTTAACTTCAATCTATTTCTGTCTTTGATGTTTCCGTCTCTTTCGTTTCTAAAAAACGAATCTACCTCCTTTGTAGTTTACTTCTATCCCTTTATCTCTTTTTCTACCTGGAGGAATCACAGGAATCAAAATCTATATTCTCATCTATTATGTCACATAATATTTTGCAAATGGCTGGAAAGTATCTTTGAATCCCCTTTGTAGTGTGGAGATTGTATCTAGGCACTAATGCTAACAATTATTTCCATTTTCTGAAATCACATAGTGTATTATTTTCTTTTTAGTATGCAATGGTAAAGCACATGCTCTCTCCAAGTCCCACGGAAAGACCAGAGGCTGCGGATATTATAGAAAACCCTTTATTTGAAGACTTGGAATTCCCAGCAAAACCAGTGCTGCGGCAGAGGTCACGGACAATGAGCTCATCTGGATTGAAGCATTCAAGATAGCTGAATAAAATAATTTGGCATAATTTTGATGGATTGATTTTACTGTGGTCATTCAACAGGAAGGATTCAATGTCAAGCAGCGTCTCTGGAATATTCATATTCTCAGCTTTATTATGTCATATTTATGTAAGCTACCATTGGATGGAGCTAAGAATTTATGTTTAATGTTCTCTAATCTCTTGAAACTCATGACTTTCACTTCATAATGTGGTATATTTTAAATTCTGATACACTGTCTAGTATGTGAACTTTGTACATATTCTAGGAAATTTTGAAAAGAATGCCTATTATGTAAATAAAATAAAATTCTGTATTTTTATAGAACCAGTTGGTCTCTAATCTTGACATATAGCCTTGATTACATTAAAGTAAGACATGAAAGCTATCTTAAAGCAAACGTACAATTTTGTCCCTGGAGGATAACATGCACAATGGAAATAGTTTTACTGTGATTAGCCAGTTTTTAGACCAGTTGTGATTTGTTTCTGCTCAGTAGAGATTGCAGAAAATGGTTTAGATGAGGATGATAAAGATTTGACGAGCTTGAATTGCCACAGTAACAAATAAAGCATTTATTCATTTTTTTTGTAATTCCTAGAACATTTTGTCCAATGTTACCTTGCAAGAATGTCGTAATCAGGTCTTAATACATTCCCGAAATGAGATGATTGTGCTGGATAAACACCTCCTTCTCACTGTAAATATGTTAATTTTTATTTATAAAATGGCAAATCAATCCTTTTGGGGTTGGTGGTGTACAGTATGCACTTGGAACAATTTGTTAGGTGCATTTAATTACTGTGACTTCTTTCAAGTCTGATTTAATAAAATCTTTTTTATTTAGATGTGGTTGTCTTGCATTTTAAAATTGTGAATGGAATAATTTCAGCACTGTGTCAAAACCAGACTTCAAAGTGCCATCTATATATATAGAAATGTTGCCGTCGTCGTGAGTGGCTTAAAAATGAAAAAAATACAGGACCAAATATCACCAAATTTGGCCTCGAAATGCCTCATATCCCAAGGTATGACCAACAATCATAAAAATTAAAAGAAACCACCAAAACAAACTAACAAATTCTTAAAAAAAGGAGAGGACAACACGGAGCATGTGCACAGGGGTGGGGAGGGTGCACGTGCGCAGGAGAGCTCCTCCATCGTCTCTCTCTCTCACCTCAGCTAAACAGTCCTCCTTGTTCTGGCCACTTGCTTTCCCCGCCCCCATTGGCTTCTCATTGCCGAAAGAAGCAGCGGCCGGCAGGGAAGGGAGATAGGGAGGCGGGGAGAAGACTCGCTGCCCAGAGGGAGGGAAGGAAGGAAGTAGGGAGCCCCACGGGGCTGCTGTGCTACTGGCAGTGAGGGCAGACCTCCGTGTATATTGCTGGCAGCTCCAACAGTGCAGGAGGGAGTCGGTTTGGGGAGAAGTGGGCCCCGAGCAGCCGCACAAAATTGAGCACCCCCACTCCCTTTGCTGGTAAAGGTGTGTGTGCATGTGCCTGATACAGATTATTATGAAGCTGAGGCTGGCCATCTGTCAGGAGTAGTTTGGTTGTGCTTCTCCCATAAGGCAGAAAGGGCTGGACTGGATGGCCTTTGGAGGTCTCTTTCTACCCTAAAGGTAAAGGTAAAGGTAGTCCCCTGACATTAAGTCCAGTCATGTCTGACCCTGGGGTGTGGTGCTCATCTCCATTTCTAAGCCGAAGAGCCAGCGTTGTCCGTAGACACCTCCAAGGTCATGTGGCCAGCATGACTGCATGGAGCACCTTTACCTTCCCGCCAGAGCGGTACCTATTGATCTACTCACATTTGCATGTTTTCGAACTGCTAGGTTGGCAGAAGCTAGGGCTGACAGCGGAAGCTCACGCCGCTCCCCGGAATCGAACCTGCGACCTTTCGATCAACAAGCTCAGCAGCTCAGTGCTTTAACCCACTGCGCCACCGGGGGCTCTATTAACCAAAGTCTGAATGGCCATCGGTCAGGAGTGCTTTGGTTGTGCTTCTCCTATAAGGTAGAAGGGGCTGGACTAGATGGCCCTTGGAGGTCTCTTCCCTCCCAATCCCATCACTTTCTCTTCTGGGCTTGGTGTCACCGCCAAAGGGATCCCTGCTTAGCACAGAGACAAGAAGGTGAGCAGGCCACTGAAGCCCCACAGGGAGAGAGAAAATGACTGAGGGAGAAAGGAAATCCTTCCAGCAGGAGGAAGAGGATGAGCATGGCAGGTCAAGGCCACCCCTGGGCATCAACAGAGTGCCTCAGGAGAGTGGTGCGTGTTGATGGGGGCAACTTTACAGCCCTTGAAGCCTTTTACGAAGGGAAAGGAAGAGACACCCCTGTAGAATTACAGCAGTCTTCAACCTACAAACAAGATCCGTTTTCTAGGTTTGCTCTTTGGTTGCATTTCTATCCAAGGCCCCTTCCACATACCTGATTAAAACCCCACATTAACACCTTTCATATGGAATATATGGCAGTGTAGACTCAGATAAACCATGGCCCTTCCACACAGCCCTATAACCAAAATATCTAGGCACAATAACCCACAACATCTACTTTCAACTGGATTTTCAGAGAGCCCTTCCACACAACCCTCTATCCCAGAATACCAAGGCAGAAAATCCCACATTATTTCAGTGTGGACTCAGAAAAACCAGCTCAAACCAGATATTCTGGGATTTTCTACCTTGATATTCTGGGATAGAGGGCTGTGTGGAAGAAAGGAAAGAAAGAAGTAGAGAAGGAAGAAAGCAGAGAAAGGAAGAAAAAAACACAAGGAAGGAAGGAAAAAAGGGAGGGAAATTTGGCCACAGCAACGCGTGGCGGGTACAGCTAGTAATTCTGTAAATTCATTGGGTTGATGTAGTTCCTGTTTCCCCCCTAAAACGGGCAGACATTCGGCAATCCATGGACAGTCTATGGGGCTTAGAAGCTTCCTGTGTGGCTCACAGTGGGCACCTTTCCTGCTTTTCACTGCCCAATAAATGATCCAAGAAGCTTCCCTGCATACTGTGTTTCAGCAATTCCTCACAGCTCACCAAGCTGTGATACAGGACATGTAAGGAGAGCTATGCTCACATGCTGTTTCGCAGAAGGAATACTGAAAGAGAGACAACTAGGTTTAATCTGATGTCAGCAAACCTGATGAATATATTGTCGAAGGCTTTCAGGGCCGGAATCACTAGGGTGTTGTGTAGTTTCCAAGCTGAATAGCTGTTTTCAGGAGAAAATGCTAGAACACGGCCATACAGCCCTGAAATTGCATAACACCCCAGTCCTGATTAAGTTCACAATTTCCCTGCTGCAATAGCAAAATGCCATGCTGAAGTCTGCAGATGAGTTATTTTAAACCAGTGCTTCTCAACCTGTGTGTCCACAGGTATTTTGGTCTTCAATTCCCAGAAATCCTAACAGCTGGTAAGCTGGATTTCTGGGAGTTGTAGGCCAAAACACCTGGGGGACCCACAGGTTGAGAACCACTGGTTTAAACCCTTGTGCCTACTTTTTCTGGAAAACTTTGGATATTTATTATTTACAGTATTTATATTCCCCCTTCTCACCTCGCAGGGGACTCAGTGTGGATTACAATGTATATATTAGGGCTGGGCGGTTTCGTTTCGTTAATTCGTAATTCGTTAAAAATTCGTTATTTTTTTTTATAACGAAGCGATAACGAACCATTCTGGAGCAACTTAAAAACGAAACGAATTTTTAAATTCGTTTCGTAAATGCTTCGGATTCGTTATGTATTCGTTTCGTTATCGGTTTGAGGTCGTTTCGTTATTATTTCCGCATGTCTGGGGCAAGTTTTATAGTTTTTTTGTTTAATTAGTGAAAAAAAATTATAATATCACACCAACAGTCAACAACAGAGGGAGAGGGAAGCTTCAGAAGTTCCCCCTGTCCCATTTGGAGGTTTTTTAGCGTATTGCGCGGTCGCGTCCGCCATTAACGAATCGATTCGTTATTGTTTCGTATTTGTTTCGTTAATGTTTCGTAATTTTTTTAACATTTACGAAATTTCGTAAATATCGAACTTTTTAAAAGAAAAATTTCGGAATTCTTTTAAATATCGAAACGCAAAAAACCCCAAAAAACGAATCGATTTTAGAAACAAATTTTTCCGTTGTTACCCAGGCCTAGTATATATATATGGCAAACATTCAATGCCATAGACACACAACATATATAGACAGACACTCAGAGGCTATTTTAACATTCCAGCTTCTGACCACACAATATTCTTTTAGGTGACCAGATTATGCAGTATTCCTAGAGTCAGGTAGAAGTGTGTTTTCCTCTCTCTGATTAATAATAGTGCTATAGATGTGGAAATGGGATTTGTTCTGGGACACTGACATGGGGAGAGTTACTTCCTGGTTCACGTTGCCATCTGTTGAAATCATTGCTCCCCATTCCGATCCCAAAAGACGTGTTCACGCATCTCTGACATCATTCTAGCCTAATTGTTAAAGAAATGTTCATGTATTCAACACTTCTTTCATTCCTTTTATGAGAACAGCCAAGATGACAGTGAATGTGGAAAAGCTTCTACGTTTGTAGATTCAACTTCTAATTGCCACAACAGGAATGTATGAATCCTTACCCTCTCCTGTTGCAGATGTCTTATAGCAAAATAGTTCAGCATTGTAGAAAGAGGAATAACCCAGATCTTTAGAATAGTTAATGTCACACTGATATTCCATTATATTTTCTCTTTAAGTGTAAATTGCATCCTGCCATTGCATGAAAGTTTAGTGACTTCCTTGTTCTCTAGATGCAGGTTGTTCTGGTGTTTACATTGTGGATGGTAATGAAGGTCAAGGGTCTGAGAAACAATGCAAGAGGGGCTTGGTCTCATGTAAGCCGCTCTGAGTCCCCTTGGGGAGATGGTGGCAGTGTATAAATAAATAATAATAATAATATATTATTATTATTATTATTATTATTATTATTATTATTTGAAACACAACAAGATGAGTCCACAGCAGACACTGCTTGCTGTTGAATTGGATCACATGTCGGACACTTCCCAGGTGTGGTCTAGCCAATAGGCCTGTGTGGTTTCGTTCGTTAATTCGTTATTAATTCGTTATTTTGGCATTTCCGAAGCGATATCAAAACACATTTCCAAACCCGGAAGGGTTTTAAAATATCGAACCAGCAACCCCCATAGATTTAACGAGCTTCCGCTCGTTTCGTTAATGGGGTGGAGGCTGCTGGAGTGCTGGTGCCTGGGAGCCAATCCGGCGCTCCCAAGCAGTGCACCGTGGGTCCGTGGCTGTTTGTTTTTGATTGGCCGGCGAGCCCTTTCAAAGCGGCTCCGCGCGGCCTTAGCTTGCTGCAGAGGGCGAGGGAGTTTGCGTTGGGTTGGCTTGGCTGCTAGCAACTGGATTAATGGATTCATTCCTTGCTGCTGTGAGTGCTGCTTGCTTCATTTGCTGTCTCCTGCCTGTGTTTGGTCCACATTTGGGCCATTTTTTGGTTAATTTTCCATTTTAAAATATTTTTTAATATTATTTTTAATATTATTTTTTAATATTATTTTAATAGTATTCTTAAAAAATATTCTAAAAAAGAAAAGACTCTTCTGTTGGTGTGTGCTCTCATTTGCTGTCTCCTGCCTGTGTTTGGTCCACATTTGGGCCATTTTTTGGTTAATTTTCCATTTTAAAATATTTTTTAATATTATTTTTAATATTATTTTTTAATATTATTTTAATATTATTCTTAAAAAATATTCTAAAAAAGAAAAGACTCTTCTGTTGGTGTGTGCTCTCATTTGCTGTCTCCTGCCTGTTTGGTCCACATTTGGGCCATTTTTTGGTTAATTTTCCATTTTAAAATA